GTATCTGCTGTTGTGGCAAAACGGGCCTTCTTGTTATATGCTGCACACTAAAAATAAAGGATATTAAAAAAAAACAAAATAACTGCCATCTCACACATGCCGAAATTAAACTAGTCACTTGGCCTTGCAGCTTCTCCTGACTGTGAATCATGAGAGCTACGGCAAAGTTTCTGATCCCCCCTGAATCTCTGCCTTTATTATTCTTCTTTCATCTATGCCAACTTTAACCCTCTAACCACCTAACTATACTCACACCCCAAACTCTAAACTCCTCTATGCCTAAATACACCTAATGCTTCCCTCAGCCCCCAACATTAAGTATCCATAATTGTTAGCCCCCCTTAACCTAAAATCTTGTCAATACTAAGCACCCCCAAACCCTAACCTCCCCCTAACCATTACCTTATCCTTATCATAATCTTCCCTTAACCCCCCGCAACCCAAACTGCATTCTTTAGATGTTGTTAAAAACCAAGCAGTTCAACTGTTATTGAGCTGTAACACCGCTGTGCTCTTATTAACGCAGTGATATTGCAGTGTTACTATAACGATAGCAAGGTTTGAATATATACAAGCTGTAACACATTGATACATAGCAAAGAAATTGAGATCTACTTCTCCGACTCTGGAATATCTGAACAATGATACCGAGGAAGGAACAGAGAAACCATCAACGTAAATCTGATCACCTTGGCTGGACTCCTTCCCTACTCCCGACTCTCACACAGAATAGACTATATTTATTATATTTATTTTCGTCTTCTCCCGACTCACTTCATCCCACCACAATCTATCATGTAAAATATAATCTCTTTTTTTCCCCTTCAAATAGCTATTCTTATAAAAACTCTCGAACTCAGCTAGAGCCTCAATTTGGCTGTCTCAGCTTAAATTTTGCCATTTGGATTTTAGTTCCCTATAATTTTGAGCTTAGTGAGTAAACCCCACTGGGTAATGATCATATTTATTAATAACAGGGTGACGAGAGAGAAATGAGTGCTGCCAGAGAGGGGAATGGGCCAGTGATGGGTTCTGGTAGAAATATAGATGTCGGACCAGGTTTTCCAGTAACTGGATGGATCAGCTTGTTTACCACGATTACTGTTTGGGTGAGAGGACAGGAACATCAGCAGATATTGACAGAGACTGGGCAGGGGGCTCGGGCAGCCTCCGATGATGTGATCCACATAAAATGTTGTCCATTTGCAAACAGGATTAACATAAAGAATGAGGGTATGGAGGCCACCGCCAGGATCAGGGCATGTTTTGCAGAATAATTCCTCTTGTGATGTTTTGTATGTCAGGAACCCACACTCCAACTGGAGTCCCCTTTATCCAAGGCTGAATGCTTCTGGGATAATCCATGGCACGTGGTTAACTTTTAAAGAACTACGGATACAGCATTGCTATTAATGGCGCCATACTGAAAAGACTGCAACACCATTATAACGGGACTATTAATCACAATGGTCGTTATACCAGAGGCTACTCTACTGGACATGGTGCTGTAATAACATGGGGGACAGCAGTCCTGCGATTTAGCATTATTACAGGGGAATTAGGGGCCTTAGGGAGTTACAGTCCAGAGCACTATGAAGGTAGATACACCTTATCCCTACGCCTCCTTATTTAAAACCTTCTAAGTCCCCGATATGGAATCCTAACAGCATTGTTACGGTGCCATGATTAACAGCAATGTAATGACGCTTTAACATATCGAGGTGATTTAATGCTGACAGTTTAAATGCATGTTGCTTAACAGATCTGGGTTCCATTTTCAATTAAAAGATAATATTTTATCCAAGTTACTACATTGCCTGAACAAGGTTACTCCAGATTCCAGGTCAATATGTGTTCTCCTGCCAGCCTTATTACCAGACTTGACACGCGACCTCTTAACCTTCAGACCAACCACCATTGTCCCTGATTCCTTGAAAGCTGGAACCCACCCATAGGTGGCTCTCTAATTAGGCGGCCACCTAAGGCCTCGCACTCGCGGTGGCCTCATGGCCTGGTTCCAGCTTTGGGTCACGGACCGCAGTCACGACACCTGGAGGGCTTGCACAGTGTGCCGTCAGATGCTGATATTGGGCCTGTCACACTCATCTTCCCCCCAATACTGCCACACTCACCCTGTCACACACTACACCCCTATACACAAACACTACATACATATAAACATACCTCTTCTCCTAATATACACAATGCAAACCCTATATGTTTTTAATACGGGTGTCTCATGTTTGAGTTTTGTCTAAGGCATTGCAACGTCTAGAGCCGTCACTGCTAGGCCCATGCAACCACAGACTCCTGCGGGTCTTGCCCCCAAATCCAGGTCATTTTTGGGGGTGGGGATTCAGAAGGGATTGCTGTAGTCCGTCAGTGGGATTCCAGCTCCACACAGTGAGATCTTTGTCTTGTTAAATATATTTTTCTTTTTCTGGGCTTATGAGCTCTGCACCCTTTCAGAAACAGCTTTAAAAAACAATAACTATTTGATTTATTCTGTCCTACTGGTGAGAATATTGTGCTGTAAATTGCTTTACATATCAACTTGGGAATGTAGTGATCACATCTCAATTTCAAAGACTTCTGTTTCCATAGACGTTAAAAAAACAGTTTTTTTTACTTTTAGTTAGCTATTTTTAAGATACATTGATAAATTGATGGTTTCTCTTAGAGGGGATATAGTTTCACAGATGTATTTACTTTAGCACAAATAGTCAAGAATTCAAAATGAATTTAACATTTTAGGCCGTAATAGTCAATATGATAACATAGCTGAGACAGAGAATTCTTCTAATTTGTCTATTTTGGAATTACTAAATATTTAGTCATTTTCCATAATCAGTTAATTCCTTTTACGTGGATATTAATGTTCAGCAAGTGTATTTTGGCATTCAGCCTAATTAAAAATGTAAGTAGTCAACATATTTTGTTTGACCGCAATCACTAAGCTGTTAATTGATCCAATATTGGTTGTATTGTTTAATCGGCGGTGATGTCATTATGAATGGTTACTTTGTATCCAAATTCTTCTTAGAATCCTTCCAATTGTCTCCGTTGTTTGTGAATGTGGTGGTTTTGTGTTTTGGTACAAACTGTCCTCAAGTGGTCTGAGTATAATATAAGCCACCGTCACTCATTATGGACAATAAAATGTACAAGTAAGGAGTCTAGGTTCTTGGGCTACATGCTACTGGGTATTCGCTCCAAGCCTGTAACGCATTTAAAGAGATATTAAACTGTGGCTGGGGGGGACTTGTACTCGCTGGATGAAATTTGAAAATAATCATAAAAATGGACATTGTATGAAAAAAGGAGAATTCAGTTTGTCAATTTTTTAAAAAAATGTGTTTCTTAAATGTAAAGAATAATTATGCTATTATAATGATTAGAAATTAAAGGGACAATATAGTCACCCAGACCACTTCAGCTCAATGAAGTGGTCTGGGTGCCAGGTCCCTCAAGTTTTAACCCTTCAGATGCAAACATAGCAGTTTCAGAGAAACTGCTATGTTTACATTTGGGGACAGCCACAAGAGGCGCATCTGCGACGCTGGAGGCATATTATGCCTCCATCGCACAGAACGTCCATAGGAAAGCATTGAGAACCTTTGAATGTGCACTGGGCACTTGCCGCGCATGCGCATTCGGCTCCAGTGACGTCGGACCGGGGAGCTGACGGACGGGGAGGAGAGGTCACCAGCGCCACGGGAGTGGGACCCTGAGCGTGGGGACTATTGTGTCAGGAAAACCGCTTTTTTTCCTGACACTATAGTTATCCTTTAAAAATGTCCAAGGCAAGTTTCTCTTACACAAAATAATAAGTTAAAGGGAACCTATAGTCCAGAACATAACAATGGTTGTTTTGTGTCGATATTGTTCAGGATATTCCCTTCTCTACACCCCCCTTAAAAATGAAGTTACAGTTTACTCACCTTGTTTCCAGAGCTGCGGCCGCCCCTTCCGTCTCCTCCAATTCATTGTTTACCATAGAGAAGCAATGGATTGGAGTTAGGCATGCGCAGCCAAACGCTGTGGTCCTCCAATAAAATGCGGCTATCAGCAGCACTTGATGCCCAGACCAAGTCTGACTCAGTTCTGGAGGAGGAAGCGCCTCTAGTGGCCGTCGGGAATGTAATGTTTTATATTGAAGTGTTAAAATGACAGGAGCACTGCTCCCAGACCATTTTAATGAGATGAGCGGTCTGAGTGACTAAGGCGACTATTTTTATTGTGCGTTCATTCAATATTCTGGAATAGTTTAATTTATAAAGGAATTTGTGCATTTAGAAAGTTCACCATATTTACTTAGTAGATTGCTCCTTGCGCTCCTTGCAATAAGGCAGTAATTATTTGTTAATGTCAGTTCTTACGTTGTGTCAGCATGTGTTTACTGGGGTGAAAGGTGCTGCAGAGGTAAGTAAGAAGGTGCACTTACCTCTGCTGAGATTCTGAGAATGCTCGGGTGTCTTCAGAGAAAGTCCCTGTGAATCCATGCTCCTTCAGTAACGCTGTACGCTGGCGTGTGCCTGGCTCATAGCACTGCAGGGGTTAATTTCATTTAAATGCCACCCCAGTCTACGACATCGAAATTAATCTTTCTGGTTTGTGTTATTTCCTGTAATTTCCCAGTATTTTCAGTTTCAGGTCATTTTCTCATAATTTATTTAAATACTTTCATTCCAATTAAATACTGCAGGTTTATTATTAAAAATGTATTTTTCATAGCTCGTTTAATTTTATTTTCATTCTGTCTCAGTTTGGCTGTATGTATTCTTTAACATTCTAACATAAAAACATTTGGAAAAAAAGTATTTATTATATTTATTTAGTATCAACGTGTTCCACAGAGCTGCAAGCATATTAATATTAAAAGATAAATAGACTGGACAGAGAGACAGGTGTATTGATGAAAGGATGGATATAGAGAGAGATAGAGGGAGACAGAGAGACAGACAGAGAGAGCGAGACAGACAGACAGACAGACATAGTGACAGAGAGAGACAGGCAGAAAGAGAGACAGACAGATAGGCAGACAGATAGACAGACATAGTGACAGAGAGACACAGGCAGAAAGAGATAGCAAGACAGGCAGATAGACAGACAGACATAGTGACAGAGAGAGGAGCAGAGGTTCACAGATAGACAGGCAGTCAGAGTGAATCCCTGATGGGAGAACCTGAGGGTCGATGTTGATATAAAATGCTCTGTCTATACGGAACCTGTGCTAATCCCACGCCAGCTCATTGCAAGGCACTGTTTATTGAACAAACTCGTCTAAATTTGTAAATCTATTTATTTTGCAGAACAGGCTTCTATACCCTCAGCGTTACGCCATTGCATTCTGCGTCTGTTTCCAGGTATACTGCCAGTGCACTCGGTGCTGTATAAATCTATAGACAGACAGACAGACAGACATACTACACTCTGCTGCATTATTCACCCCCGTGTATGTCCAGCAGACAAAGGGTTAAACACACTGCATGCATTGTGTTGCAGCAGATATTATTATCGCCGGGTCTCTTCCTGCAAACAATGGGCCCATGTCCACAGTCTGAGCGAGGCGTGCTTGTTTACACACTCAGTGCCTGTCCAAGGCTCTGCAGCCAATCAGAGCGCAATGTCACCGGCCAGAATATTACACAAGTGTCACGCTGCGGTTACACAGACCCACACTGAGAGGAAAATTACCAGCTGCTCTGTACTTTAACCCTGTGCAGAGACAGCCATTATAAGGCGCCCTATGGACCGTTTACAAAACACTGCACTCTGTGAGGGAGGAGTGCTTTATAGGCCGCATCAAAGGCCGGGTCAGGAGAAGGATGATGGGAGACGTAGTCAACAGCTGAAAGATTAGATAATCCTGGCTCTTGGTTAAATCCAGCCAGCAGCTGGTTAATATAGCTGAATCCCACTTGGAGTCTGGTCACTATGGATAAATGCTGTGTGTAGCCTGGCCAGTATGGATTATATGCTGTGTGTAGACTGGCCAGTGTGGATATAAGCTGTGTGTAGCCTGGCCAGTGTGGATATAAGCTGTGTGTAGCCTGGCCAGTATAGATAAATGCTGTGTGTAGCCTGGCCATTATGGATATAAGCTGTGTGTAGCTTGGCCAGTGTGGATATAAGCTGTGTGTAGCCTGGCCAGTATGGATAAATGCTGTGTGTAGCCTGGCCAGTGTGGATATAAGCTGGATGTAGCCTGGCCAGTATGGATAAATGCTGTGTGTAGCCTGGCCAGTATGGATAATTGCTGTGTGTAGCCTGGCCAGTGTGGATATAAGCTGGATGTAGCCTGGCCAGTATGGATAATTGCTGTGTGTAGCCTGGCCAGTGTGGATAATTGATGTGTGTAGCCAGGCCAATGTGGATATAAGCTGTGTGTAGCCTGGCCTGTGTGGATATAAGCTGGATGTAGCCTGGCCAGTATGGATAAATGCTGTGTGTAGCCTGGCCAGTGTGGATATAAGCTGGATGTAGCCTGGCCAGTATGGATAAATGCTGTGTGTAGCCTGGCCAGTATGGATAATTGCTGTGTGTAGCCAGGCCAATGTGGATATAAGCTGTGTGTATATAAGCTGTGTGGATAATGTGGATATAAGCTGTGTGTATATCCAATGTGGATATAAACTGTGTGTATAAACTGTGTGTAGCCTGGCCAGTGTGGATAAATGCTGTGTGTAGCCTGGCCAGTGTGGATATAAGCTGGATGTAGCCTGGCCAGTATGGATAATTGCTGTGTGTAGCCTGGCCAGTATGGATAATTGCTGTGTGTAGCAGGCCAATGTGGATATAAGCTGTGTGTAGCCTGGCCAGTGTGGATATAAGCTGTGTGTAGCCTGGTCAGTATGGATAAATGCTGTGTGTAGCCTGGCCAGTGTGGATAAATGCTGTGTGTAGCCTGGTCAGTGTGGATAAATGCTGTGTGTAGCCTGGCCAGTGTGGATAAATGCTGTGTGTAGCCTGGTCAGTATGGATAAATGCTGTGTGTAGCCTGGCCAATGTGGATATAAGCTGTGTGTAGCCTGGTCAGTGTGGATAAATGCTGTGTGTAGCCTGGCCAGTGTGGATAAATGCTGTGTGTAGCCTGGTCAGTATGGATAAATGCTGTGTGTAGCCTGGCCAGTGTGGATAAATGCTGTGTGTAGCCTGGTCAGTGTGGATAAATGCTGTGTGTAGCCTGGCCAGTGTGGATAAATGCTGTGTGTAGCCTGGTCAGTATGGATAAATGCTGTGTGTAGCCTGGCCAATGTGGATATAAGCTGTGTGTAGCCTGGTCAGTGTGGATAAATGCTGTGTGTAGCCTGGCCAGTGTGGATAAATGCTGTGTGTAGCCTGGCCAGTGTGGATAAATGCTGTGTGTAGCCTGGCCAGTATGGATTATAAGATGTGTGGTCAGTGTGGATAAACATTCATGGGAAAAAGAAAGTACGACCTCTTAGAATTCTATGGATTTACATATCAGGACATAATAACATTAATCTGTTCCTTAGCAGGTCCTAAAATTTAGTAAATATAACCTCAGATGAACAATTCATGACGTTACACTGTGTCATCATTTATTGAACAAAATAAAGTACACCCATACTGCTTCCAGGCTAAGTAGCACAGAGATACTGCTAATCAAATTACATAGTTACATAGTTACATAGCTAAAAAGAGACTTGCGTCCATCAAGTTCAGCCTTCCTCACATTTGTTATTTGCTGTTGATCCAAAAGAAGGCAAAAAACCCAGTCTGAAGCGCTTCCAATTTTGCAACAAACTAGGAAAAAAATCCTTCTTGACCCCAGAATGTCAGATTTATCCTTGGATCAAGCAGTTATTACCCTACATTGAAAGATTACATCCTTGAATATTCTGTTTTTGCGAGTGTGCATCTAGTAGCTGTTTGAACATCTGTATGGACTCTGATAAAACCACTTCTTCAGGCAGAGAATTCCACATCCTTATTGTTCTTACAGTAAAAAAACCTTTCCTTTGCCTTACAGGAAATCTTCTTTCTTCCAGTCTAAACGCATGACCTCGTGCCCTATGTAAAGTCCGGTTTGTGAATAGTTTTCCACACAATGGTTTGTATTGGCCCCGAATATATTTGTATAATGTTATCATATCCCCTCTCAGGCGACATTTTTCTAAACTAAATAGGTTTAAATTTGTTAACCTTTCTTCATAGCGGATATGTTCCATTCCTTTTATTAATGTTTTTGGCTTTTTCTAGTGCCATAATATCCTTCTTTAGAACAGGTGCCCAAAATTGCACAGCATTTTCAATATGGGGTCTTACCAGTGATTTATAAAGAGGCAAAATTATATTCTTGTCCCGAGAATGAATGCCCTTTTTCATGCATGACAATACCTTACTGGCCTTGGCCACTGCTGATTGACATTGCACATTGTTGCATAGTTTCTTGTCTATAACAATTCCCAAGTCCTTTTCATGTGTTGTTATCCCTAATTCGCTTCCATTAAGGGTATACGTTGCTTGTGTATTCTTTACGCCGAAGTGCATAACTTTGCATTTTTCAACATTAAATTTCATCTGCCATTTGAGTGCCCAGTCCCCCAGTCTATCTAAATCCCTCTGCAGCAAAGTAATATCTTGCTCACATTGTATTATTTTACAGAGTTTTACAAATGCCCTTAATTAATTCATCATCAGCAAGAGAAGGCCACTTTTATAAAAGCCAAAGTTTTAGTAGTTTTCTGGTGTGGAGCAATCAGGTGTCACAATGCCGAGGAGAGAAGACATCTTCTTAGAGAAGCAATGGTTTCTACCCATAATACTGGGAAAGGTTATAAAGCCATTTCCAAACGGTTTACAGTCCATAATAGCACAGTGAGAAAGTTTATTTAAGAGTGAAAAACATTCAAGACAGTTGCCAATCTGCCCAGGAGTGGACGTCCCAGGAAATTCACCTCAAGGTCAGACCGTGCAGTGCTCAGAGAAATTGCAAAAAAACAAGTTACATCTCAGATTCTATAGACCTCAGTTAGCGTGTTAAATGTTAAAGTTCATGACAGTACAATTGGAAAAAAACTGAACAAGTATGGTTTGTTTGGAAGTGTTGCCAGGAGAAAACCTCTGCTCTATAAAAAGAACATGGCAGCATGACATAGGTTTGCATCTGAACAAACCACAAGACTTCTGGAACAGATGAGACCAAAGTTGTGATGTTTGGTCATGATGCACAGCGCCATGATTTGGGCTTGTTTTTCAGCCACAGGACCTGTGAACCTGGCAGTCATTGAGTCAACCATGAACTCCCCTGTGTATCAAAGTATTCTAGAGTCTAATGTGATGCCAGCTAACATTTGGCCGAAATTTGGTCATGCAACAGGACAACAATCCCAAGAGTCAAGGTGTTGCAATGGCCCAAAGTCCAGACCTCAATCCGAGAGAGCTCTGCATAAACAAATACCGGCAAACCTCAATGAACTGAAGTAACGTTGTAAAGAAGAGTGGGCCAAAATTCTTACACAACAATGTGAAACACTTATAAAGTTTACTGAAAGTTATTGCTGCTAAAGGTGGTTCTACAAACGATTGAATCGTAAGGTGTACTTCATTTTTCACACGTCTTCAATTTTGGCTTTATTTTTGTTAAAGGGACACTATAGTCACCAGAACAACTACAATGTATGTATAGTTAGTCCCTGCCAGCATTTAAATGTAAACATTGCCTTTTTAGAGAAAATGCAGGGTTTACATTACTGCCTAGGAACACCTCTAGTGGCAGTCACTCAGACGGTTCTCATAGAGATGCATTGATTCAATGCATCTCTATGAGGAGATGATGATTGGTCATGGTGGGCATATCTTACCTGCAGCCTGACCAATGTAAGTGTATACTGCCTGCAGTCTGGTCAGCGCGGTGTATACTTCCTGTAGCCTGGCCAGCGCGGTGTATACTGCCTGCAGCCTGGCCAGCGCAGCGTATACTGTATGCAGCCTGGCCAGCGCGGTGTATACAGCCTGCAGCCTGGCCAGTGTGGTGTATACTGCCTGCAGCCTGGCCAGTGCGGCGTATACTGCATGCAGCCTGGCCAGCGCGGCGTATACTGTATGCAGCCTGGCCAGCGCGGTGTATACTGCCTGCAGCCTGGCCAGCGCGTGTATACTGCCTGCAGCCTGGCCAGCGTGGTGTATACTGCCGGCAGTCTGGCCAGCGTGGTGCAGTGTATACTGCCTGCAGCCTGGCCAGTGCAGTGTATACTGCCTGCAGTCTGGCCAGCGCGGTGTATACTGCCTGCAGCCTGGCCAGCGCGATGTATACTTCCTGTAGCCTGGCCAGCGCGGTGTATACTGCCTGCAGCCTGTCCAGCCTGGTGTATAATGTCGGCATTCCTGGCCAGTGCGGTGTATACTGGTGGCAGCCTGGCCAGCGCGGTGTATATTGCCTGCAGCCTGACCAGCGTGGTGTATACCGGCGGCAGCCTGGCTAGCGCGGTGTATACCGCCTGCAGTCTGGCCAGCTCGGTGTATACTGCCTGAAGCCTGGCCAGCACGGTGTATACTGGCGGCAGCCTGGCCAGCACGGTGTATACTGGCGGCAGCCTGGCCAGCGCGGTGTATACTGGCGGCAGCCTGGCCAGCGCGGTGTATATTGTCAACAGCCTGGCCAGCGCAGTATATACTTCCTGCAGACTCCACACCAATAATGCTTCCAGTAATGTGTCTGAGTGTATAACAGAGCTCCACAGCAATAATACTCCGAGTAATGTGTCTGAGTGTATAACAGAGCTCCACAGCAATAATACTCCCAGTAATGTGTCTTAATGTATAACAGAGCTCCACAGCAATAATACTCCCAGTAATATGTCTGAGTGTATAACAGAGTTCCACAGCAATAATACTCCCAGTAATGTGTCTTAATGTATAACAAAGCTCCACAGCAATAATACTCCCAGTAATATGTCTGAGTGTATAACAGAGCTCCACAGCAATAATATTCCCAGTAATGTGTCTGAATGTGTAACAGAGCTCCACAGCAATAATACTCCCAGTAATCTCTGAGTGTGTAACAGAGCTCCACAGCAATAATACTCCCAGTAATGTGTCTGAGTGTGTAACAGAGCTCCACAGCAATAATACTCCCAGTAATGTGACTGGGTGTATAACAGAGCTCCACAGCAATAATACTCCCAGTAATGTGTCCGAGTGTATAACAGAGCTCCACAGCAATAATACTCCCAGTAATGTGTCAGTGTATAACAGAGCTCCACAGCAATAATACTTCCAGTAATGTGACTGGGTGTATAACAGAGCTCCACAGCAATAATACTCCCAGTAATGTGTCAGTGTATAACAGAGCTCCACAGCAATAATACTCCAGTAATGTGACTGGGTGTATAACAGAGCGCCACAGTAATGATACTCCCAGTAATGTGTCTGAGTGTATAACAGAGCGCCACAGCAATAATACTCCCAGTAATGTGTCTGAGTGTATAACAGAGCGCCACAGCAATAATACTCCCAGTAATGTGTCTGAGTGTATTAACAGGGCTCCACAGCAATAATACTCCCAGTAATGTGTCTTTACACTACAGTAAATGTGTTTAGAGTTCAGTCTGTGTGAAGAAGATACATTGTTCTTCTGAATTACATTTTAGTTCTATAAATTGTTATTAGTAAGTCACCTAAAATGTCTCCGAACAAATCTGTCCCTGGCATCACTCTTACTCACACCCCTAAAATTAAAGTGTCCCCTCTTGTACATGTGAAAAGTTGAGAGATAAGCAGAAGTTTGCAATTCCCTCCTATTGTTTACGTTCCCTCTGTGGCAGGCTTATGCAATATATGATCATATAATGTAACTGAATCCCGATTATTTTTGCCTAGATTAGGTGTTTAAAAAAAAAAAAAGAAAAAAAAAAGAATAAAATCTGTCAACCTTGAAGTTGCTGTTTAGTGGATAGGTGAGTGCGCTGGATCTTGTGTATTGTATAAATTGGCCCCAAGCAGCACCCCATTTGTGCATGTTCAGGCGAGTGCAGCCCCCTGGTTTCAATGACAGAGACACAGGCTCAGGGCAGTCAATTAGATAAAAACAATGATATAATAATATGCAAAGGACATTGGACATTAAGGGGTTAATCAAATTAAACCAAGCAACATCCAGTAGAATAGAATATTTAATGTGGTTGCCATGGTGATTGGTCCTGTTTGTATCACAGTGAGTCAGTGCTGGAATAGGCGGTTACAATGTGTCCAGGTAAGAGGGGCTCAGCTCCTGGACCCCCATCAATCACACAGGGAGCAGGAGGCATGACTGGCCAGGATGGAATTTTCCTAGTGGAATGAACCGCGCGGGGGCACCAGAGAGCTGAGAGAGGCCATGAGAAGGTTCTGGTATTCCCAGACATAGCTTGTTCAGTATAATACCCCCTGGCTGCAGGACTAGGGCAGATAGACAGCCAGACAGCACTTACCTGGAGAACACTGACAGCCAGCATTCAACTGGAGAACACTGACAGCCAGCATTCAACTGGAGAACACTGACAGCCAGACAGCACTCACCTGGAGCACACTGACAGCCAGCATTCACCTGGAGAACACTGACAGCCAGACAGCACTCACCTGGAGAACACTGACAGCCAGCACTCACCTGGAGAACACTGACAGCCAGCACTCACCTGGAGAACACTGACAGCCAGACAGCACTCACCTAGAGCACACTGATAGCCAGCCAGCACTCACCTGGAGAACACTGACAGCCATCCAGCATTTACCTGGAGAACACTGACAGCCAGCACTCACCTGGAGAACACTGACATCCAGCACTCACCTGGAGCACACTGACAGCCATCCAGCACTCACCTGGAGAACACTGACAGCCATCCAGCATTCACCTGGAGAACACTGACAGACAGCACTCACGTGGAGAACACTGACATCCAGCACTCACCTGGAGCACACTGACAGCCATCCAGCACTCACCTGGAGAACACTGACAGCCAGACAGCACTCACCTGGAGCACACTGACAGCCAGCCAGCATTCACCTGGAGAACACTGACAGACAGACATCACTCATCTGGAGAACACACTGACAGACAGACAGCACTCACACTGAATCCAAGAGCTCCCCACCTCTGCCTCTCATCCTGACTCCCAGAGCTCCCCACCTCTGCCTCTCATCCTGAATCCCAGAGCTTCCCATCCTTGCCTCATCCTGAATCCCAGAGCTCCCCATCCCTAACTCTCACCTTGAATCCCAGTGCTCCCCATCCCTGTCTCTCACATTTAACCCCAGCGCTCCCTATCCTTACTTCTCATCCTAAATCCCAGAGTTCGCCATCCCTGACTCTCATCCTGAATCTTAGAGCTCCCCATCCCTGACTCTCACCCTGAATCCCAGATCTATACATCCCTGCCTCTCATCCTGAATCCCAGAGCTCCCCATCCCTGCCTCTCATCCAGAATCCCAGAGCTCCCCATCCCTGCCTCTCATCCTGAATCCCAGAGCTCCCCATCCCTGCCTCTCACCCAGAATCCCAGAGCTCCCCATCCCTGCCTCTCATCCTGAGTCCCAGAGCTCCCCATCCCTATCACTTTCACCCTGAATCCCAGAGCTCCCCATCCCTGCCTCTCATCCTGAATCCCAGAGCTCCCCATCCCTGCCTCTCATCCTGAATCCCAGAGCTCCCCATCCCTCCCTCTTCCTATGACAGCGGTATTTCCTGTTTGGGATGCTGGATTGATATTCAGGCCGATTGACTGGTGAAGCTTTAACAGCCCGCATCGTTACTTCACACAGGCTGCTCTACTGGGACAATAGGTAAGAACTCTCTTCAGGGGAATTTCGCCTTTTGTATCACGCTGCGGTATATGCTGGTGTGTTACCAAGTGACAGAAAGTGTTTATAATAATTAAATGAGTTGTATGAAATAATTCAAATTCCTTTATCATCCAGTGACCATTATTTCCCAATAGAATTAGTGTTGGATAAAGTTAAATGCAAACTCTTAATGTGCTAACACATTGCTGTGCTAACTGCAGCCTTAAGGCTGGCTGATAATCATGGGAATTGTAGTCCAAGATCTGAAGAGACGAGAAGAAGTATAACTGCCCCCATGCCATCTACCCCAAGTGAGAATGTATGTGGAAAATCACTCTTTTAATAAATATTATAAATGTAACATTTTATTTTTAATGATTAAATTTCACCCTTTTCTCATACAGGGAGCACTAGACCCCCTCCTGGCACCGGGGCTATTCATTCAGGAGATTTATGTCTGTTGAGCTCATAACTAAACTAAGGGGATTGTTTACTAAATTCCGCCTTACTGAGATCACACTAAAAGGTCAAGATTGTGAAATGTGTTGGGCTCATTCACCAATGACGTGTAATAAATAATATGTAAAACGAGCTGAGAAATTTGCCAACCTGTGACTGTAGCTGGTTGGAAAGGTTCCCATTATTGCACTTTTTATCTAAATGGGTTTTTCCATTTAGAATTCTGTGGATTAGGAAAGTTGAATAATACAATTCCTGAAGGTCACTATTATTCCAATTCTGTTATGTTGTCCCAAAATGTGCAATTTCCCATATTTGCCATTTTAGTGTAAAATCCTATGAATTCAAAGTACGCCATTTTTATTACTAATCCAGTTTTTATTTAATTAGAATTCACTATTAATTGGTATAAATAAAAATATCCAGTTAGAAATGAATAGCCAGAATTTGTTATAGTCCCTTTGGAGCCAACAAGATGTCAGGACTGTAACTATAACAAGTGATTTAACTGTGGTCCTGACTGAGCTAATTATAGTCTCTGAATTCTGCTTTGAAAGAGAAAGTTAATGGTGTGAATGTATCTAATGGAATAATTGCATTTATACTGGAACGCTACGAGCATTGTTGATGTGTAGTTGCTATTCCAATCACATCTGATTTTATCTCCAAATTCTCCCTATAGATAATATATAAACATCACTGATACATTTATCATTTTATTTTAGAGGTCCTTTAAACGTTAATTTTAAACAAAACAATCCCACCTTTGTTAAATTAGTCAATAGCTCCCCCCCCTTCCAGGTGATTTAATATTAGCTGACGACATGTGACGTCTCTGAATCATGCTGTTGATGAAACGAGTGGATTATTTTAAGAGTTGCTTCATACTTTGTGGCTTGGTAACCAGTGATAGGCATGCGCAAACTAAAAATCTGGGCTATGCCAAGTGGAATTCTGTGAATAATTAACCCTAAAGGGTAACACTCTAAGTGCCCTCTACATGATATTTGATCCCTAACATTTATTAAACACTCCCTATATAATATCTACTGATATCTGATCCCTGACATTTATTAAACACTCTCTATATAATATCTACTGATATCTCATCCCTGATATTTATTAAATGTTGGAATGCAAGTGAAAGGGCAGCAGGCTACAGGAAGGCTCCTCTGTAATCAGACACTGGAGGTCTGGGGGAGACAGTTGAAGTGTGGCCCGCAACATCGCAGGAGAAAGAGGGCGAGTGTTTCTGTGTGTGTGTCAGTGTATGTATCTCTGCTTGTGTGTGTTTGTGGATCTGTGTGTCAGTGTGTGTATCTGTGCATGTGTGTCATTCTGTGTGGTTCTCTTGGAGTGTCTGTCTGTGGGCATCTGTATGGTTATTTGTAAATACACAACTGCATGTAATGAGCAACACTGTGCACAAAAGCTGTCCTGCGACCAAACGCCATCACTGCACCCCCTACACACAAACACACCCCTGAACACAAACACACCCCTGAACACAAACACAACCCTACATACAAACACACCCCTGAACACAATCACAACCCTTCACACAAACACACCCCTGAACACAAACACAACCCTACACACAAACACAACCCTGCACACAAATACACCCCTGCACTCAATCACAAAACTGCACACAAACACAACCCTACACACAAACACACCCCTGCACTCAATCACAAAACTGCACCCAAACACACCCTAGACACAAACACACCCCTGCATTTAAACATCAGCACTACATAAAATAACCACACATTCAAATGCTGACACTAGACACCATTGCATTTAAATGCCAGCACTACAAACAAGGATTTACACAAATATACTCCATACAAAAAACATGCCTACATTCACAGACATTGCACACAAATAGAACTCTGCATGGGTGGGTAAATGGTAAATCCACAGCTTGCAAAGCATCACTGAAGTTCAGGGCCGGACTGCCCCACCGGGATACCGGGAAATTTCCCGGTGGGCCGTGGCACCTGGGGGCTGCGCTGCGCATATAGGTGTGGCCGGTCTGGTGGCACACTCAGAGGGGGCCGGGCCGCGTTCCAGGCTGGAGCCGCCAGGCCGGATGGCAGCTTCGCCGGTCCGGCGGCACTTCTGTCACTGATGATGCTAAGGGCTGAAGGAGGAGGAGCATGTCTACCATGCTCCCTCGCGGTTCCCACAATCAATGTGCTGGGGATTGTGGGAACCGCGAGGGAGCATGGAAGACATGCTCCTCCTCCTTCAGCCCTTAGCATCATCAGTGACAGAAGTGCCGCCGGACCGGTGAAGCTGCCACCCGGCCCAGCGCCTCCAGCCTGGAACGCGGCCGCCCCCTGACTTCTCTAGGTAAATGAGGGGGGGAGGATAAAACAGAGAGGAGGAATAGAGAGATGGTGGAGGGATGAGAAAGAGACAGAGGGGAAAAAAGATGTGGAGGAGGGAGAGACACAGGGAAAAGGGGGAGAAAGAGACAGAAGGGAAGAGAGATGTGGAGGAGGGAGAGACAGAGGGGAAAAAAGATGTGGAGGAGGGAGAGACACAGGGAAAGGGGGGTGAAAGAGACAGAAGGGAAGAGAGATGTGGAGGAGGGAGAGACACAGGGAAAGGGGGGAGAAAGAGACAGAGGGAAGAGAGATGTGGAGGAGGAGAGACACAGGAACGGGGAAAGAGACAGAGGGGAAGAGAGATGTGGAGGAGGGAGAGACACAGGGTAAGGGGGAGAAAGAGACAGAGGGGAAGAGAGATGTGGAGGAGGGAGAGACACAGGGAAAGGGGGGAGAAAGAGACAGAGGGGAAGAGAGAGACAAAGAGGGAGAAATGAGAGAGACACACAAGGGGAGGGGGAGAAAGAGGTAGAGGGGGAAGAGAGAGACTGGGAAGGAGAGGGGAGACATTGACACAGAGGAGCAGTGAGGGGGAGAAAGAAACATACAGAGTGACTGGGGGGAGACAAAAAGGCACACAGAGGGGCTGGAGATAAAAAGAGACACACATAGAGGCTGTATATATTAGTGGTGGATGGGGGGGCAACGGGGCAATTCCCCCCCCCCCACACGAGGCTTTCCCCTGCAAGCCGATCTCCCTCCTCGTTCCGCAGGCACCGTGCGGGCAGCCGGCAGGGGAGGGAGGAAGAGAGGACCCAGGAGCTCCCCTGGGTCCTTCTTGCGCGAGCACAGAGCGTTGCCGCAGTTACCACGGCAACGCTCCAGCTCTCACAAGGGTGAACTCTAGCCCTGGAGCTACGGGCTAGAGTTCACTCTCACAACTACGATCACCAGGGATTCCTGGTGGTCGCAGTAATGAGAGTGAACTCTAGCCCCATACACACACTGACCCCACACACACACCATACACATTCACACACTGCCCCCCCCATACACACATTACCCCACACACTCTACACATTCCCACACTACACCCCCCCCACACCCACACACTGAACCTTTCACACACACTGCACCACTCACACATTGCACCACTGCTCCTATACCCTACTACAGCCCCATATCCCAGCAGACTCCAGGTAAGTTGTCAAACTGTTCTTAAACGGTTTGACTACTTACTCTGGGAGGGGCTCCCGGCACTCCTGTCACCATAACCACTACACAGAGGATTAGTGGTTATTGTGCATGGAATATTTATTTAAATAATCTACAAGTGCCCCTCCCGGGATCAGGTTCTGGATCCGCCACTGGTATATGACATGTATATTAATGTGTATATTAGTTTTATATATATATATATATATATATATATATATATATATATATATATATATATATAGAGAGAGAGAGAGAGAGAGAGAGAGAGAGAATTATGCCTATTATATTTACACATATATTAATGTACATTTATATATGCATAATACACAGATAAATGTCATTAATATGTACTATATGTAATGAGCAGATATTGGCCCAGTCTTGTTGCTAGGTGCATACTCCAGCACAATAACATATTTAAAGTGAAGAGCACACCCACAGGACTTCAAAATAAACATTTTTTACAGTTGTGCCCTACATACATTCACCATTTCAGTCCCATTACCAAGCTTTCCTTAGTATGTCAAGGTAGTTGGACTGAAACATTGATTACATGCAAAGGCACGTCTGCTTAAAATAAATCTGCACTTTTGTTTATTTTGAAGCCTATGAGTGCGCTTTTTACTGTGGAGTAATTTTTAATTTTAAGTTATCTGTTCTAACTCTGTATCTGCACACTATGCTGGCGCGACGCATTATGAGGCTGGTAAATATTTTTTTTCCAGGGCTGCTTTTAATTCCCAGTCCGGCCCTGCTGAAGTTGCCCGGCAGCTGAGGATCTACTTTTTGACCAGTTCTGCTCTGTATGGGCGTCCAAACACTACAGCTTCTATAATAATACATTCTACAGCTCCTAATATACACACACCGCAACCCTAGATACAAACACACTCTACAGTCCCTACTGACACACACACAATCTTACAGCCCTTAGACATGCACACACACACACCAGTGGTGGAACTAATGCCGCTGCATATGCAGCGGGGCCTGCATGCTCAGGGAGCCCATGGAATTAGGGCCACCCGATGGGTATTGTTGAACCGGGGCCTGGACAAGTTCCTCAGGTCTTTAAGAGCACGACTAGGCCTCTGTAGTATCGATGATGCTGTGAGGAAGTGACAATCTGTCACTTCCTCCCAGATATAGAGAGCGCCGTGTGGGAGGGATAGGAGGCCCCAACAGCAGATGGGGGGGAAAGGGGGGTAGAAAGAGACACACAAATGGGAGGGAAGTAAGAAACACGCAAAGGAAAAAAATTGGAGGATTAGATATGCTAGAGGGGAGTGTAAGACAAAAGGGGATACGATACACTAAAAGTGGTAAGACATTCAAAAAAGAGGGTAAGAAACACAAAAGGGGGTAAGAAATTCAAGAGGGGGTTAAGGGAAACACAGGTGAAGATGCATTTTTTGGGAGGGAATGAAGGGAGCAGCAAAATGCAGGAAATGTTGTTCTGGTAACCCAATACCAGAGGCGGCTCTCTAATTAGGTAATTTTAGGCGGCCGCCTAAGGCCTCACGCTGTCAGGGGCCTTGCAGCTGCCTAAATCACCTTAGGGCAGACTGAACTGACAGGTTCTCGGTCTAGGACCTAGTGCCCGACACAGGAGGGGGCCCGCTGGCTTGCCCTTAATGCTGCCGGGTGCGAGGGGCCCCTCCGCTCAGTCTGCCCTGGGAGAGAACCAGATTTAGTCTGCAGCTCCGCCGGGTGTGAGCTGCAGACTGAAGTTTCTCACAATCTCCAGCCAATCAGAGCGTTACAGCTGGTTACCACGACAACACTCTGACTGTAGATATTTGCCATGTGGTCTGCAGCTCCCGGCAGAGTTGCAGACCGGAGCCCACGGACCACCAGGGACAGAGGGAGCCCTCTGGACCACCAGGTAAATTTCAATCCCCTCCTCCTTTCACCCCCTCTCAATCTGTCACCCTCACCCTGTCACCCCTCTCACAATCAATATGTCACCCCCCTCTCACACTATGTCACCCGCTCTCACACTATATCACCCACTCGCACACTATGTCACCCCCCGTCACCCCACTCGCACACTATGTCACCCGCTCTCACACTATATCACCCACTCGCACACTATGTCACCCCACTCGCACACTATGTCACCCGCTCTCACACTATATCACCCACTCGCATACTATGTCACCCCCCATCACCCCACTCGCACACTATGTCACCCCCCGTCACCCCACTCTCACCCTGTCACCCTTTGACCCACGGTCACTCCCTCCAAACACACTGGCACCACTCTCCACACACACGGGCACCACTCTCTGCACTCTGGCACCCCCCTCTATACACTCTGGAACCCGCCTCCATACACCCTGTCACTCTCCTCTGCACTCTGGTACCCCCCTCCATACACACGGTCACCCCTCTACCCTCTGGCACCCCCCTCCATACACACGGTCACCCCTCTACACTCTGGCACCCCCCTCCATACACATGGTCACCCCTCTACACTCTGGCACCCCCCTCTACACTCTGGTACCCCTAACACAAAATGCCACCCCCCAGACACTGCTACCACCCCCAGTCACACTCACCCCATCCAATCATGCAGCACTTATCCTATAACATTAATCCCCCTAATCCTGTCACACTCACCTTTTCTCACACTATCATAATCACCTCCCAGCCCTATCACACTCTACTCAGGGATATTCACCCTGTCACAATCACCTGTCAAATAAACCCCTCCAATCCTGTCACGACCAGGGCCGCCATCAGGGGGTGACAACCACGATGGTTGTCATGGGCCCGGCGGCCCCATGTGTAGCGGCGGAACTGCCCATCGGGGCCCATCGGGTGCGCTGCGGTGGCATTTTTTAATTTTTTTTTTTAAAGGGGCCCGGTCAGCGCTGTGGCCGTAGTATAGCGCGACCGGACCCCTTTAAAAAAATAAAAAATAAATGGTCACTTCCTCCCAGCTCACTCTGCGCGGGAGAAGCGGCAATGAAGAGGCCAGCCGACTCCCAGTCCCATCAGCCCCAGCCACCCTTCTGCAAAGACAAGGTAAGAAACAGGAGGGTGGCTGGAAAATGAGCTTTGTGTGTCTGTATGTATGTCTGTGTGTATGTATGTATGTATGTATGTATGGGTGTCAGTGTCTGTATGTCTGTATGTATGCATGTCATTACGTGTGTATGAATGTCAGTGTATGTATGTCTGAATGTCATTATGAATGTGTGTATGTATGCCAGTATGAATGTATGTCTGTATGTCATTATGAATGTGTGTATGTATGAATGTATGTATGTCTGTATGTATGTCTGTATATATGTATGTCTGTATGCATGTCTGTATGCCTGTATGCATGTCATTACGTGTGTATGAATGTGTGTATGTCTGTCTGTCTGTATGAATGTATGTATACCAGTATGAATGTCTGTCTGTATGTCATTATGAATGTGTCTGTATGTCCTTATGCATGTGTGTCTGTATGTATGTTAGTATGTACCTGTCACTATGTACGCCTGTGTGTCTGTATATGTGTGTATGTCTCAGTATGTGTGTGTCAGTATGTATGCCTATATGTGTATCAGTATGTGTGTCTGTTAGTATGTATCAGTGTGTGTGTGTGTATCTGTGTCCTTTTGTATCAGTGAATGTGTTTGTGTCTGTGTGTGTATTCCTGTGGGCGGGATTTGGAGGCGGTCTCTGTGGGCGGTTTTGGAGGCGGGCACCCCAGGGGCCCAGTCCCTGAGCTCAGTTAGGGGCCCCAAAACTTCTGGTGGCGGCCCTGGTCATGCCCACCTCCCCTCGTGCTGTCACACTCCCTCCTCTAACCGTGCCACACTCATCCCCAGCTCAGTCACCCCCCCAACGTCACATTAACACCTCTAAACCTGTCACAGTCCCCCAACCCTTCCACACGCAACCTGTCACAATAACGCCTCTAATCCTGTCACACTTGCCCTCTCGATTAACCCCCCTTAATCATGTCACATTCATCCCCACTTGCCCTGTAACACTCACTTCTCCAAACATGCCACATTCACCCCAACCCTGTGATACTCATGCCCCAACCATGCCACATTCACCCCAACCCTGTGATACTCATGCCCCAACCATGCCACATTCACCCCAACCCTGTGATACTCATGCCCCAAGCATGCCACATTCACCCCAACCCTGTGATACTCATGCCCCAACCATGCTACATTCACCCCAACCCTGTGATACTCATGCCCCAACAATGTCACATTCACCCCAACCCTGTGATACTCATGCCCCAACCATGCCACATTCACCCCAACCCTGTGATACTCATGCCCCAACCATGCCACATTCACCCCAACTCTGTGATACTCATGCCCCAAGCATGCTACATTCACCCCAACTCTGTGATACTCATGCCCCAAGCATGCTACATTCACCCTATCACATTAATCCCTTAGTCCTGTCATACATACCTCCTCTCACCCTGTAACAATCTCTCTTCAACCATGTCACATTCACTCTCCCTCACTGTGTCACACTCACGCCCTAACACTCACTCTGCCACAGTTACCCCTTTACTCTCCCTGTCACCCCCTGAAGGCAATCATTATACACACCATCATTAAACATAGCTTCGTCAAAAACTCAGTGCCCAAAGGCCACAGGCAGTACACAAACATACACATGCTCAGAGAAACATACATAAGGATACTCACTTTCAGACACACACTCTCAGGCACACACACAGGTAGACAATGCAAGGACACACTCGGGAATACACATAGCCAGATGAATACACATTGTGACAGATTTTTTTCTAAAAGCCCAACCAAAATAAAAATGTCTGTTTCCAATGACCCCTTCACACCAGCACTTATGTATACACAACTGCCAGACTTTTCAACCATACCTCGCAATCATGTATAAACAATTGGCATAATTGAAAATTAAAATTTGTTTATTGCAATTTATGCCATAAGTACAGTCAGAGAGCTCACAACACAGCGGCACAGTGAGCCGCGACAATGCAAGCCTCTGAACGATGAATACAGAGACTACCTCTTTGCATCCAACGCTGCAAGCTCTCCCTTCAATATACTTACAGCTCCTTATACACACACAAGGCAACCGCTGTTTTGTTTTCACTAGTGGGGGCCTCATGTTTGAGTTTTGCCTAAGGCTTCGCCAGGTCTAGAGCCGCCACTGCCCAATATAAGTGGTATTTATAAATTTTTACAGCTTTTACCATAGCATGGGAAAGAGGAACTGTCTGCACAGTAATAGTCCCAGTTCCTCTTTAAACCTGCAATTTCTGGGATCACACCGTACGTAGCTGGTATTATTATAATAAAGTGATTTTTATAGACCTGCTTTATTTATCACGCATTCTTCTAATTACTCATCATGCCACATGTAAGGTCACTTTATATGATTCACTGACGCTCTGAGAGAGATCCATCTTGTTGTGAAACTCCGCCATTGCCAGTCTAAAAGGATTTGATTAAAGACAGATCTGGTTAGGAACAGTTTGATAAAAAAATCCCTCCTCGACCTCATTGATTAAGATTAATGTACTCTTCAATGTGTATTATAAATATTAATTTCATCCAATCTCAACAGCAGTGATTGGCTGGGAGTGTGGGGAACAGAGTTTAACCATTGCCCTCAGCCTGTTATTGCTGCCCATGTTTGTTCAAATCCACATTGAGAATGTGAAAGTGAATAGCTGTGAATAGATGGGCTCTGGGAGACAGGAAGAGCACGGTCATTTATTAAACCAATTAATGGAACCCAGATACTATTAACAATCAACCTGTTCAATGAGCTGAAATAATACTATAATACAATAAAATGTAATAATCTGATGGGCTGTAATAATACAATAAGATGTAATAATCCGATGGGCTGTAATAATACAATAAGATGTAATAATCCGATGGGCTGTAATAATAAAATAAAATGTAATAATCCGATGGGCTGTAATAATATGACTTGTTGTGATGGTTGTGTTGCCTGAATACAGATTTGACAAGGTCGAGGAGGATCTGAGATCTGTGAATGGGGGGATGACATGTTAAGTAGCAGGTGTGATGTGTCCCCTATTTAAGTCCTTACCAGTATTTAGATGTGAAATAAATCAATATTTAGTGTGATGTTAATCATTAGATTAGGAATGTTATTTTTTATCGGTTGTTCAATGTATTTTATTCTGAAAACATGTCAGTTCAGCCAACTAATGTGAACTTGGCAGAGTTACCAGTTATTGACTAAACTGAGAACGGTCAGGAATTCAAATTGAGTTCAAAAGAATTTCACATTTTAGAGCAGAATAGCTGAACTTGAAACATAGATCACTTGGAGAAATTTTCAATTTCATCTAAATTGGCCTTAAAGGGACACTATAGGCACCCAGACTACTTCAGCTCATTGAAGTATTCTGGTGCAGTGTCCCTGCCCCACTAAGTCCTGCAAAGTAAATCGTTGCAGCTTTAGAGAAATGGAAATGTTTACATTGCAGCACTAAGACTGCCTCTAGTGGCTGTTAATCAGACAGCACATCCTGCTTAGTAGGCAACCTTAGGTCACCTGACTCTGGAAATTCTCATGCTCTGCATTGAGGACATCCAGCGTCAATACAAACCCAACAGTAAAGCATTCTTTCAATGCTTTCCTATGGGGAGGACCTAATGCAATTGCGGCGCATGCGCAGTAGGTCCCCTGTCGCATGAGGCAGAGCACCGACCCAACGCCTAGGGTCATCAGCACTGGGATCAGGTAGGTAAATAAGTGTTTTTTAGCCCTTTATTGGCTGGAGGGGGGTGCAAGGGAAGGGGGAGGCAGACAGAGCTATAGTGTTAGGAATACACTCTCTATTCCCAACAGTTCTCCTTTTAGTAAATAACCCAGTGTGAGACATTTCACAGGTTGTGTTTATTAAATTCTAGAAACTGCTCATTTTGTATAAAGTAGACGAGTTGGAAAACCTCACATCGGGTTTTTCACGGTTTCAAACGGAATTACAGATTTTAGAAATCAGCTTAAAATTAAACATTTGCTAACAATTTTAGAAATGTGGCTATTTTGGCCTAACATCTTTAAATTCCTGACACGTTTTGTAAAATAACCCTGTCTGATTAAGCAAGCCGGCATGGTACTTTGACCTTGTCATGAGGTTCGAATATTCTAAAATTTCCCAATTTCATTTTAACAGTTATCGTTAACAGACACCCTGTACCAGTGACAGACAAATATGTTAATGCAGCTGGCTTCATCTGGTAAGTACACCGAATATCCCACCTGCAACGTATACTGGGGCTAATTTATACCATGAAACAAGTCAGACTACAATACAAGGGGGCATTAAAACAAAAAAGACGTCTGGGGCAAAATGCAATCACCATGGAAACCAATAGAACACACACCTTCTTGGTTGTATTTAGACTTTGAATGCCAGAAGGGAGAGAAATACAATGTCATTTTGGACACCACTTAAAAATAGGACATTATGGAACTGAAGAAAGGTTCCGAGGTGGACTACAAAATTAATAAGGGGAATGGAAGATTTTAAATGTAAAGAAAGGTTAGAAAATGTTGTATACAGTAAAAAAAAAAAAAACAGTTCTTAGAGAAGATATGATAAGGTTATAATAATATATTCACAACAAAAAAAAAGCAATTACTAGACAATTTACTAACAGATTATAATTGTGTCCTAAAGGGAACAGTGAATACGAAGTGTACTGTGTGGGTTTGTAAAATGCTGTGGGAGTAGGAGATACTTTCAGATCTCCAATATTAAATCAGAATTTTACTTGCTGAGCCCTAAATACCAGCAGCAGGTAAATAGGCAGACTCTGGCAAGGAATGACACGTTTGAATGTTTATGGCAGTACCTATATCTCTTTGTATTAACTCTTGGTCTCTCATCTTGGGCTGCAGAGCTTGCACTCTACACCAGGAGGCTGATCCACAGCTGGCGCCTTTCTCATTGCCAGACTGTAGAATTTGTCAGGAAAAATGCTGCCAATTTCCTGTCACTGTCCAACCTTCTCATGGGGCTTACTTCCATACTGTGTACGCTGAATGGGTAAGTACTGTGAATCCCCTAATGTCTGCTGGGGCCCCCCTCTCACGCATTGCTCAAAGGGACGAGGGTCAAAGGTCTAAAATGTACACAATTTGACAAATATGTGTCATATATTTTTTCCATTTTTAATGTTTTTTTCATTTGCCCTCTTTTTTTGTTTATTCATCTTCATTTCGTGTTTCATTCCTTTTCATTTGGAACTATTTTCCAATTGTTCACACTCGTTTATTTTCTGCGATTGAGCAAATCTTTAATGAAAAGGTTACATAGGATGTTTTGTCAGGTTTGGTAAAATATCCGACATCTTACCAGTGTAATGCCTTGTGGTCAGTCACTTTGTGTGTGTGATAGGAAAGTCTTTGTTCTGACGCATTTCACAGAATAACGCTCACAACATGGGCGGTTTTACCCCGGCGATGATAGGCTGCTTTGGTCACGACACTTTATTTCTCCTCGCAAGGTTTGGCCAATGGGCATGCTGGCTGCTTCTGGTAGGTTTCATGCTGGATTTGGCAGACGGAGCTGTCGCAAGGCAATTCAACGCGTGTTCTGCTTTGGGTAAGTAATTTCCACTGATCAAAGTGAATTTTACATTTATGGCCAGAATAGTCAAACTGACTTTCCACTCCAGCCATATTGACCTTTCATTTGAAATTAAGTTTAGTGGATCTCCTTGTTTCAGCTTTGTTTTCAGCTTCACATAACAAGGAAGTATGTATTCTAGGCGTACATTTTAATGTCTAGATGTTGATAGGTTTACTAAGAAACCCTCAAATCCTGGAGACCTCAGCAACATCCAATACTTGAGATCTAGCTGTAGTTTCCAGGAGAGACGAAGCAAATACAAGTAACAAACTAAAGTGCATTAAAATATAAATACATGAATTGGATGTAGATTTTTATGCAATGAAACTACTCTCGTCTGAATTGCTTTGCATTTAAATAGAGTAGTGTCCCTTTAAAACACAAGTGGAGGATGTAGATTATTGTAACTAAATCTTTGGATATTTGCTGTGAAATCCAATGGTAATATTTTTTGCTATTTTTATCAGAGAGAATGGCCTGGACATAGTGTTATTTTCATTTTGTTTGCAGGTGCGAAACTAGATGACTTTGCAGATTTCACATCGTTCGGGGTGGCGACTGCGTTGCTGCTGCACACACACAGCATCGTAGACGGATTCCTGGTCATTGTTTACGCTCTGGCTGTCTTCGTGCGTCTCTGCTTCTTTACAAGTGGTAAAAAAATTATACTTTTTTAAATAATAAAAGAAAATATAAATAATGTCAGCAATTTACACTGAAATAAAAAAAAAAAAGGACACCACCTTTCCTGCAGCTCTGGGTAATACACCCCTCATACATCAGACACAGAAGGGCATTTTGGGCTATATTGTACAGCGCTGCAGACTTTGTTGGTGCTTTATAAATAATAATTATATTAGAGATCCGTTCTACATGATGCTGACAAATTCTGTCTTGTTTTCCTATTGTAGAAATTCCCTTCATTTACCGAGGACTTCCTTGTACCTACGCGTCCGCCATCTTGGCGTGCACGTCTCTGCTGACCGGAAGTCATTTAGTGGTCTTGCGTGTAGTCTCTGTCATAATGATCCTCTTTATGGTTGATCAAGGTTTCTATCCCCACGACAAGATCCTGGAGTCTCAATTGTGGAAAAAGATGGTCTTCACAGGAGGTGAGAATCAGTAGTTAGGCTGACGCTTATTTAATCAGTGCATTAAAGGGACTCTCCAGTGCCACGAAAACAAACCGTTTTCCTGGCACTGCAGGTCTCCTTCCCACCCCCAAGTTAAAACCCCTTCAGTGACTTACCTGTATCCAGCGCCGATGTCCCTTGGCGCTAGGTCAGGCTCCGCCTATGCTCCTCCCCCGTCGACGTCAGCCAGCGGGGAGACCTGTTGCGCATGCGTGGCCGGCGGCAGGGGAGACCGCATGCGCGGCAGACCGCCCCATAGGTAAGCATTGAATAATGCTTTCAATGCTTTCTTATGTTGATTTCGGTGACGCTGGAGGTCCTCACATAGCATGAGGACGTCCAGCGTCGCATAACACACTTTTCGTGTTCTATGAACACATAAGTCCCTCTAGTGGCTGTCTGGTAGACAGCCACTAGAGGAGGACTTAAAGGACCACTATAGTGCCAGGAAAACATACTCGTTTTCCTGGCACTATAGTGCCCTGAGGGTGCCCCGACACTCAGGGTCCCACTCCCGCTGGGCTGGATGGAGAGGAAGGGGTTAAACACTTACCTTTCTCCAGCGCCGGGCTCCCTCGGTGCTGGAGACTCTTCTCCTCCTTTCCCCATCATCAGCTGAATGCGCATGGGTGGCAAGAGCCGCGCACGCATTCAGCCAGTCTCATAGGAAAGCATTCTCAATGCTTTCCTATAGACGCTAGTGTCTTCTCACTGTGAAAATCACAGTGAGAAGCACGGAAGCACCCTTAGCGGCTGTCAAGGAGACAGCCACTAGAGGCTGGATTAACCCATTTGTAAACATAGCATTAAGGGTTAATCCTAGGTGGACCTGGCACCCAGACCACTTCATTAAGCTGAAGTGGTCTGGGTGCCTGTAGTGGTCCTTTAACCCTGCAAGGTAAATATTGCAGTTTAACGGTAGTGGGAGTTGGCACCCAGACCACTCCAATGGGCAGAAGTGGTCTGGGTGCCTGGAGTGTCCCTTTAATAATCATTTAAAAATTATATAGTTCTATGTTTTCATCAATTGTAAATTATCAGAATAGACTATTACACTATTATTAAAGGGACTCCCATAGGTCCTCTATATGTCATGTGTAAATGAGTTCCCTGTTTCTGCATGTTAATTATTGAATTATACCTGCAGCTATTTCGTTTGAGCAGGGTCCTCTTCAACCTCTCTTCAGTGGTACCTGTAAGTTTTTATAATTGTCTCATTTATTATTAAATCTCCCCCTCTTATAATATTGTAATGTGCTATGGAATATGTTGGCGCTATATAATTGACGATAATAATAATAATTAACCAATATTGCAAAGGCTAGAGATGCAAATCCTAAGTGATTTGTACATGTTGCTACACAGAGCTCTGACCTGCATGCGCAGCCTTATCTAGAAAAATAAAATCGAATGCAGTAACTTTTTAACCCCTTAAGGACATGTCATGATTCCCTTTTATTCCAGAAGTTTGGTCCTTAAGGGGTTAAACTAAAGGAAGTTAATGGCGTTAATGAAATTTGGAACCAGTGATCTACATATCCCATAAACCTCTATTGGGAAGGAATCTGTGGGTTATATTTTGACCATTTTATTGCATTATCTCCAAAATTATTAAAACAAAAATGTGCTGTTAAAACAAACCTCTCACCTGTGTATGTTTTATACATTTTTGTTTAAAAATGAAAAATTGCAGCGGCATTCCCATTCTTCTCCCTGCGGCTCCTGGCAGACCTTACACACCAACATGGCCGTGCCATTTAAGATCCTTCTAAGTGTTTTGTGCTATGAGCACTTCCATAAAGTTCCTTGAACATGTGCAACGAACTGTCATTGACATCTGCTGTGCTTATTGATTGATGGCTGGTGTCCGCAAAATATACTTTCCCTTAGAAATAGGATAACAAATGAATTTCTACATTTTTAAGGTTTCACTCTTAAAGAGACACTATAGTCACCAAAACAACTTTAGCTTTAATGAAGCGGTTTATAGATCATGCCTCTGAAGTTGTTTTGGTGACTACAGTGTCCCTTTAAATAAATAAATAAATAAAAAAGTAAATATATTATTACTGTAAATAGTTTTTGATAATAAAAAATGGCCATAATTAAAAACAAAAAGTGTTCAGGGCCAGTTTCATATCATTAAATATTTACATTATGTTGGCCTATTGCTCTGTCCCTTATATTACATTTACAATTTCTCCATTATCTGAGAAATTTGATTTATAAGATTTCATGTGTTTTCTGTTTCAGGCATACTCATTATGTTCTGCGCCTTCTCCCCGCTGGCCTGCTTATACCACCTTGCCTGGTCCATTTCCTACGTCCTGTTTGCAGATACATTATGGAACCTTAAGGTCTAATGTTACGTTTCATAGTGAGGAGTATTTAGGTCCATTTCCTACTTGCGATGCTCTGGGTGCGGATGCCCAGCAATGAGATCAGTCTACTCTACAGGAAGCTTTCTGTTAGTAGAGGACACGGCGCCTCCAAAGCTCCAAGTTCAGTCTCTTCTTTGGGAAGCTAAAGAGGTAGCAGATGACATCTTCAGCTTCACACTCCTCAATGAAAAACACACTTAAGAATCTCTCCTCTTCAAGAACCTGTTTGCAGAAGGCAGCTCTGATTCCACCTGGGTTGTAGGAGAAACCTCTGACTAATTAATTTATTGGTTAATAAAGGAAATAAGTGGGGGAGGTTAGCTCTGAGATCAAACTCCATCTTGCAACATTGTGAGTGGGAGAAGATAGGTCCGAGTTCATTATTCTCCTTTGGAAACAGTAGGTGGAAGAGGAAAGCTCTAAATCCACTCCTCTCCTTTGAAAAATTTAAGTTCTCTTGAAATATCACTTGGGTTAGAATCCCCGTGATGACACACCTGTCCTGAATTGAGCATCTTTGTGTGATGATGTGGGCTACATAGAAATGCCATCAGATTAGCAGTATTTAGCTGCTCACATATATAACCAGAAGTTGCTGAATTATATTTATGATCAAAATATGAAAACATCAAGTGATGTGGTTTCAGTATATAATGATAGATTGTGCTCGTCTTCGTCTATATACCATTTGTAAGCAAGAAGAAGGTGCCCAGTTTAAAAAACAATACACAACATGAGCCGTACGTGGGGAGCAAGATTTATATATGGAATTTTTTCATGATTACTAGAACTGTGTACAAACATTCCTGGACTAGGGATGGCCTGAATTAATGATTCCCCTGTGAGATCTAAGCTGAAACATTACTCGAAATGCTATGTGTCTGTAATTGTACATTTATTGGGCGAGATCACCGGCACAGGATACAGTGACCATTCTTAGTTCTATTCAAAGAACAATGTAGCCAATGTGACTGTGATTTATTAACCATATTTGAGTATTAACGTCTTTGAATAAAGTTAATATATATTATAGGTGTCTTTTTTTTTTCTTCTCACACTCAGACAATATGGAGAGCTGATCAGTTAATTGTTTTTACCATGTTATAATGGATGATACAATCTCCAGGCTTAATGTCTCACTTTAAATAGGGAATTATAAAGAAAAATGGAAGTTTGGTAGCGTATGCTATAGCCCTTTATAAACATATAATATTTGTGTATTATGCTCATCACTTGCGTAGGGGAGTGTTCGGTTTTATTGTTATATCTTGGATAAAGTGCGTTTTATGCAAATTTAATTTTTAAACTATATTTTGGCCTTTTTAAGTCCTGTTTTGCTCACTATGTATTGACTTTGTTTTTCTGGAGTTTTCTACAGAGAACATATGTCTTTGGGTCACTGGCCTCGCTGGCTAAGAATGGGGGTGGGCTAAACCTCCAATATATTTTAAACTAAAAGGCTATGAACATTACAACTTTATTATAAATATCGTTATATTTCCGTTATTGTTCTCTTTTAACTAAAGAAGTGGAAAAGCTGACAATCTAATTCCAAATTCTGGACTTCCGAACAGACTCCGATTATTCTACAAACAAATTCTAATACCATCCATTAGCTGCTCGCCCCCCTTAGAAGGTTTAGGAAAGAAATGCAGTGTCAGTTTGTCCTATTCACATGCACAGAGTGTCCGTTTAGTTTCTGTAGCCAACAAAATGTGGAAACCAGTTCACATGTATCTTCTTGCCAACTTTGGCTAACATCTTTAAGGTCCATGTCCAGCTCTCTGCACACAGGTTAACGTTCTGGGTCATACAGAAATCCCACTCAGGCGCGCGTAGTCACTTTGACTAATGGCGTCCGAGGCTGACAGACGTGTGTGGTCATCTGCCTGGCCCACAAGGTTTTGTAGCTGTTTCATCAGTTCCATGAAGCAAGGTCTCTGAGATGCTTTCCATGCCCAGCATCTCAACATGACTTCGTAGCTGGAAGTGAAAGCAGGAGAACCATTATGAGAGCGTACATATTCCTCACGGATGCAGAATTTATTCATCTAAATACATCACCATGAAACACACCACACAATTACCATGACTCCAATATTCTTCACCAGTTATGGTCAGTAACACGGCAGGAAAGACATTAATGAAGTACTTAACACAGACCTTTCATTTACATATATTAGCTTTGGTTCTGATTAATTGCCTTGCCTCCAGTGTGAGCTGCTGTGTTCCCAAAGCATTCTAAAGACAGCAGTTAAAGGAACACGCCAAACACCATAACCACTACAGCACACTGCAGTGGTTATGGTGCCAGGAGTGCCCTGGCGCTGCTTCAATGTACTCACCTGGGGCCAATTACCTCCTCCGTGAAAGCAAGAAGTTTGGAGGGGCTGGGGGGAGTAGGAGAGGAAGGGAATGTGGGTGGGCTTTAAAAAATAAATAAAAGTTGTAATGTATAAAATGTAGGGCGGCTGGGAGGAATTGCAGGAGGGAAGGAAGAGGCGTACAAGCTTCCCTTTGCGGGCTCGCTCACAGCACTGTCTGCAAGAGTAGAAAATAATTCCATCTGTCGCCAGCGTGTGCGTTATTTTTGCAACTAATAAACATAAGAAAAGCCCAAACGTTCCAGACTACAAAGCCACGGTTGCCGGGGGTGCAACTAGCCCCTGGCACAAAAGTGCAGACGCCATAATATGTGCAGCATTTCAAGCAGAAACGATGCAAATACAAATTGCTTTCTCTATGACGACTGCTGAGAGCAAACTGTTCATGGAGGCTGGAGCAACCTGTTTATTCTTCTTTAGCTGGGTATATGTACTGCTCTTTGGCGCCCTCTCGTGGTCAGAGAGATACACTGCTAGGAGTTAATTCTGGGTGTTAATGCTGCTCCCAGACTGGATATTATCACGACATTAAAGATTATAACTATGTATATATTTAAAGCGCCACCATGGAAAAGCCAAGCTGCTCTAGGTATAGGGTTGTTTAAGTGTTTCAGTTGGTTAACCTATAGAAAGCCAGACTCTACCAATACTTACAGCCGGTCTGTGCATCGCGCAGGTTTCTCCATCCACTGCATCCTCTGAAGGCTGGGAAGCACCTGAGAGATTTCCAGGTTTGGATACGGAGGAGAACCTGGAGAAAAAAAAGCAAATATTCTAAAAGAATAGACACTATATATTTTTTTAATCTGTTTTTTTTATATTTCTATGAGGATAGAACCAGCACCAAACTATAACCTTAGGTGTGAATTAGTCCGCCCAGGTGGCACCAGTTGGAGCGGAATTGAAGCTCCAATAAAGTGTGAGTGCACATTTTTTACTTCACCCTTACTCCATAAAGACGTTTTAACTTACTACACTACTGGTTCCTTCTGCTTCTCCATTTGTCATTACATATACCTCCACAAGAACATTCTACTCGCTGCATCTACCTTTTATTTCACCCAGTTATATAGAAATATAACTAATCTGACCATTTATTACACACATGTACTCAGCATAAAATCTAAATAACGTGACTACCATGGAACACAAAAATGTTACGAACATGATTAGCTAATATTTTCACCTTCTTCTAGTACATACCTAAGGTGACCATCTCATAGAGTAAAATCCCAAAGGACCACCTGTAGAAAAAGAAACATCAGTATTAATAAGGAATCTGTCTCGTGGGAAAAGAGTCTGTGAGAGAATGAAATGTAGGGGGTCTGATGGCGGCCAGTATTTCATCCAATAAATGATGTCTGAGCTGAATAAAATAATAATCCTCTGATAAACAGACATTGATTAAACTCACATGTCGCTCTTCTCTGTGGGGGTGTCTCCGCTTAGCCTTTCTGGTGACTGCCACCTTAGTGGCACTTGGGCCGCTCGCCTGGCTGGAATGCCCCCAGTCCGGTGCATTATCGCGGTCAAACCAAGGCCACAAAGCTCCACAGTCATATCCTCGTGGATGAGAACATTGCATGCTGCCACAAACCCATGGACAAGGTTATGTGTTCCTGACAGATACTCCTACAAAAGGAAAAGTAAATGGTTTATTTTATTTCCTGGAGGTTACCACCTCTCTCTACAGCGCAGAGATATATATCACCTCCCCCCTCAGTGCAGCCAGAGGTATATATCAACACCCCCCCCTCAGTGCAGCCAGAGGTATATATCAACACCCCCCCCCCTCAGCACAGCCTGAGGTATATCATCTCCCCCCTGAGCACAGCCTGAGGAATATATCACCTCCCCCCTCAGCGCAGCCACAAAACAGTCGGTTACAAAATAGACCAAAATAGAGCTTTATTAATAGAACCATAAGCGCTATGTTTGGAGACGGCCCAATAGTGAAAAGAATACCATCCCCACTGTGAAGCATGGTGGTGGCTCACTGATGTTTTAGGTGTCTGTGAGCTCTAAAGGCACAAGGATTCTTGAGAAAATTGATGGCAAGATAAATGCAGCATGTTATCAGAAAATACTGGCAGACAATTTGCATTCTTCTGCACGAAGGCTGCGCATGGGACGCTCTTGGACTTTCCGGCATGACAATGACCCTAAGCACCAGGCCAAGTTGACCCTCCAGTGGTTACAGCAGAAAAAGGTGAATGTTCTGGAGTAGCCATCACAGTCTCTTGACCTTAATATCATCGAGCCACTCTGTGGAGATAATATACGTGCGGTTCATGCAAGACGATCAAAGACTTTGCATGACCTGGAGGTATTTTGCCAAGACGAATGGGCAGCTATACCACCTGCAAGAATTAGGGGCCTCATAGACAACTATTACAAAAGACTGCACGCTGTAATTAATGCTAAAGGGGGCAATACACAGTATTAAGAACTAAGGGTATGCAGACTTTTGAACAGGGGTCGTTTTCATTTTTTTTTAGAAGAACTAGTTAGAAAGTTGCCCTTCCCCCCGCCCCCTCCACCCCACCCCACCCCACCGCACCCCACCACACCCCACCAGATATTAAGAAAATCATGTACATCTCTATCTTTTATACATTTAAATATTAAAAAAGGGACAATGTTTACGGACTCCGGCTTTGATTCCAAGACACCGTTTCCAGAAACCTACTAGCAATATTTTAAAGTGTTGGTTTTTAATAGTTAGAGGAGGCACAATATATCAATCAGAAGAGTCCAATGAAGATGGTTTACAGAATTAATTTGTGACATTATTGAAATAATTAGAAAAGAAAACCGGAAGAATAGATTATCACACTAATGTCACATGGCTAATATGGGCCCATGTAAAAAGGTAAAAGACTGTATTAACCGAACGGTAATAATAATATCTACCAGAGCACTCGCCACCTGGGAAGCTGTGTGAAAGATCCACTTCTCTGTGACTCTGCTTCCATTGTCACCCTAAAAGGAAGGTAATAGGTTGTCATGACATATATGCGCTTCTGTCTTTCTGATTTAAAGGTATACTATAGACACTAAAACAACGTTAGCTTAATAAAACAGTTTTGGTGAATTGATTATGCCACTGTCATTTAGGAGTAACATTGCTTTGTTTATGTAGCCCTAGCCACGCCTCCCTACATGTGACTTATACAGTCTCCCAACACATTTCCTGTAAAGAGAGCTTAAATGTTTAAATTGCACATTTTTGTTTAATTTAGAATATCTAATATCCTGCTCTTTTAATACTCTGCTGGTTCCTGCCAAGTCCTATTAACATAGGAAAGCATTCATAATGCTTTCCTATGGACGTGGGCGTCTTCTCACTGTGATTTTCACAGTGAGAAGCACGCAAACGCCTCTAGCGGCTGTCAATGAGACAGCCACTAGAGGCTTTAGAGGCTGGATTAACCCATTTATAAACATAGCAGTTTCTCTTAAAAAAAAGGGTTAATCCTAGAGGGACCTGGCACCCAGACCACTTAATTAAGCTGAAGTGGTCTGGGTGCCTAGAGTGGTCCTTTAAGCTAAAGTTGTTTCAGTGCTTAGAGTATCCCTTTAAGTTGTACATGGCAGAAACAGAAATGTAGAAATACCATATATTGTTAGCGGTGGAAAATGTCTGACTTCTGCAACAAAATAAATTTTACCATTTTAAACCAAATCTAAACATGGAATGTGTGCTGTAAACATCATGCGTAGTATGCTCATCCTATATTTTCTATTTCACAGGTTACAAATAGTGTAGCTTGTTAAATCGCTATTCAATATTTTATATCAGTATGTTATTGTTCACTCACATAATTCAGAACCTTGCAAAAGCTCACAATGGGCTAATATACACAAAGGGAGAGAATAGGAGTCTTAAAAGGAATTCATCATTGCTGCCTTGCTGTGACAGGAATGGTTTAATCTGTGATTAAACAGCAGTTATATGTATACTGTGGTAAGGAACAACGCGCAAAAAAGTAATATCATTACTAAAAAATATATCAAATGTAATATAAAAATCAATATATCAAAAAATATAAAAATATAAAAACATTTTAAAAAATATTACATTATTTTAAATGTTTATCCAAAAATATTAAATATTTTGAAAAGTGTATCTAGAAATATCGAATCAAGGCCTTCATTTGGGTATATTGTGAGACAATGAAGAGACTCTGAATTATGTGAGTGAGTCTCTATAGAGAATTCTGGGCAGTATTCCTCTGTTCTTACACAGCACCAAACTACGAGCTACATTACCTGACGAGATCGCCACAAAAATGAGAGTAGATTTCCGAGGTTCATGGCTTTCAAAACAAGACAAAGCGGTCTCGCTTCAATCTTGCAACACAGCATCTTCACCAGGTTCTTGTGATTACAAACTTGGATGTGAAACTTCATGAGGTCAGTAAAGTCCTGGGCTTCTCCTGGACTGAAATCCTCTGAACAAAGACTCACAATTAAAAGACTTACTCACTGCACCAGTACAATTTATTATTATGACCTCAATAAGAGCGGAGTCTTCATGTCAAGATTGAGAGCACATATATTGCAATATTGCATTCCTTATAGATACTCCTCCAATTCTTACAGGCATCTCCTTCATACACCCTACAAGTACTCCCTTTATTGCTCTCTGCAGGTTATCTTTCCCGACTCCTTACAATTACTCCCTCCAGTTAAATATTAAGGTGTTGTAAAATTGATAAGTCCCTCAGATTTAGGCCAGTTGGAAGGTATGGAAAAATAACCGCAAAGGACCAAAATAGTGGGGAGATACCTGTAAGGGAAAATAGTTTGGCAAAACTGGGACAGTTTGGAGATATGGAGGAAGAATAATCGGGAAGAACCATGACAGTTAAAAGGTATGGAGACATACCTGAAAATAATTAGGACAGCTGGTCAATATGCAAAGTAACCTTAAAGAATCAAGACAATTGGGAGGCACGGAGACAAAAACTGGGAAAAATCCTCTGGTCACAGTTTTATTAATTTTTATGACCAACCCTCTATGATTTAAGAAATATGGGAAGCAATATTCTAAACTTACTCACCAGATAGTTCTTTTAGGACTACATCCTGTTTGCCATCAGCGACCCCCTCTCCAACCAGGGAGGCACGACTTATAGGGCCATATTGTCCATTGCAAATAACCACCTGGTCGGTGATCTGCCACCCATCTGGCATCTCCCATTTCTTCAGGATTGGGTCTACAACCTCGGGGAAGTTCTCGTAAGTAGCTGCATTATTAACTGCCCATTCTCCGCCCAAGTCAGCTGCTGGGTGCACAAGGTTAAAAGGCACAGTTAGAATGCAGGCAGCACAGGGTTATAGTACAAAGGATAGTGTAAGAATATGAAGTAGTTAACTTTTCTTGTTCATATGTATTTTATGCTTAGATAAGGTTTATAATCATTAGTGCTGACTGTAAGGATATGAAATAATTAAACTCTTTTTGCTTTATATGCTTTAAAATAATGTTTGAAATAATTATGCTGACTTTGCCAGATGTATTTTGTACCAAGGTCTTCTTTCTAGAGGATGTGCGACCTTGCTCGATCTCAGGATGTTCCTCTCCCGTCTTTATTCAAATGCTTATCTTTTAATGTCAGGCAAGTATGTACTATTAACTATAAGGACGCGATAAATCTCGCTGCTTGCGTGACAAACTGTGTATAAATGCTAGCCCTGAAAGTACACTCATTTGAGAATCTTGTTAAAGCATATTTGTGGTGTCCGTGTCTTTATTGCTAACAATGATTCTCCATCAATATTAATTATGGTGACCGGAGAATCGAGAATCGAGGGGAGTTGAGTCCAGAACAGCATTAACCCTTTCAGATAGAGGGTATAGTCTATTTATTTCTAACACGGGGGGTGTACAGCTATAGTACAGTAGTACAAAGGGTAGAGGGTATATTATATGTATTTATAACGCAGGGGGAATACACTGTTATAGCTGAGGGTTACAGTACAGTAGTACAGAGAGTAGAGGGTATATTATATTTATTTATAATGCAGGGAGGATACACTGTTATAGCTCAGAGTTATAGTACAGTAGTACAGAGAGTAGAGGGTATATTATAATTATGTATCACGTGGGGGGATACACTGTTATAGCTGAGGGTTATAGTACAGTAGTACAGAGAGTAGAGGGTATATTATATTTATTTATAACGCAATGAGGGAGGATACACTGTTATAGCTGAGGGTTACAGTACAGTAGTACAGAGGGTAGAGGGTATATTATATTTATTTATAATGCAGTGGGGGGATACACTGTTATAGCTGAGTGTTATAGTACAGTAGTACAGAGAGTAGAGGGTATATTATATTTATTTATAAAGCAGGGAGGATATACTGTTATAGCTGAGGGTTATAGTACAGTAGTTCAGAGAGTAGAGGGTATATTATATTTATTTATAACGCAGGGGGGATACACTGTTAAAGCTGAGGGTTATAGTACAGTGGTACAGAGAATAGAGGGTATATTATATGTATTTATAACACAGGGGGGGGATACACTGTTATAGCTCAGGGTTATAGTACAGTAGTACAGAGAGTAGAGGGTATATTATAATTATGTATCACGTGGGGGGATAGCTGAGGGTTATAGTACAGTAGTTCAGAGAGTAGAGGGTATATTATATTTATTTATAACGCAATGAGGGAGGATACACTGTTATAGCTGAGGGTTACAGTACAGTAGTACAGAGGGTAGAGGGTATATTATATTTATTTATAATGCAGTGGGGGGATACACTGTTATAGCTGAGTGTTATAGTACAGTAGTACAGAGAGTAGAGGGTATATTATATTTATTTATAAAGCAGGGAGGATACACTGTTATAGCTCAGAGTTATAGTACAGTAATTCAGAGAGTAGAGGGTATATTATATTTATTTATAAAGCAGGGAGGATACACTGTTATAGCTGAGGGTTATAGTACAGTAGTACAGAGAGTAGAGGGTATATTATATTTATTTATAACGCAGGGGGATACACTGTTATAGCTGAGGGTTATAGTACAGTAGTACAGAGAGTAGAGGGTATATTATATTTATTTATAACGCGGGGGGATACACGATTATAGCTGAGGGTTATAGTACAGTAGTACAGAGAGTAGAGGGTATATTATATTTATTTATAAAGCAGGGAGGATACACTGTTATAGCTCAGAGTTATAGTACAGTAGTTCAGAGAGTAGAGGGTATATTATATTTATTTATAAAGCAGGGAGGATATACTGTTATAGCTGAGGGTTATAGTACAGTAGTTCAGAGAGTAGAGGGTATATTATATTTATTTATAACGCAGGGGGGATACACTGTTAAAGCTGAGGGTTATAGTACAGTGGTACAGAGAATAGAGGGTATATTATATGTATTTATAACACAGGGGGGGGATACACTGTTATAGCTCAGGGTTATAGTACAGTAGTACAGAGAGTAGAGGGTATATTATAATTATGTATCACGTGGGGGGATAGCTGAGGGTTATAGTACAGTAGTTCAGAGAGTAGAGGGTATATTATATTTATTTATAACGCAATGAGGGAGGATACACTGTTATAGCTGAGGGTTACAGTACAGTAGTACAGAGGGTAGAGGGTATATTATATTTATTTATAATGCAGTGGGGGGATACACTGTTATAGCTGAGTGTTATAGTACAGTAGTACAGAGAGTAGAGGGTATATTATATTTATTTATAAAGCAGGGAGGATACACTGTTATAGCTCAGAGTTATAGTACAGTAGTTCAGAGAGTAGAGGGTATATTATATTTATTTATAAAGCAGGGAGGATACACTGTTATAGCTGATGGTTATAGTACAGTAGTACAGAGAGTAGAGGGTATATTATATTTATTTATAAAGCAGGGAGGATACACTGTTATTGCTCAGGGTTATAGTACAGTAGTACAGAGAGTAGAGGGTATATTATATTTATTTATAACGCAATGAGGGAGGATACACTGTTATAGCTGAGTGTTATAGTACAGTAGTACAGAGAGTAGAGGGTATATTATATTTATTTATAACGCGGGGGGATACACTGTTATAGCTGAGTGTTATAGTACAGTAGTACAGAGAGTAGAGGGTATATTATATTTATTTATAAAGCAGGGAGGATACACTGTTATAGCTGATGGTTATAGTACAGTAGTACAGAGAGTAGAGGGTATATTATATTTATTTATAAAGCAGGGAGGATACACTGTTATAGCTCAGAGTTATAGTACAGTAGTACAGAGAGTAGAGGGTATATTATAATTATGTATCACGTGGGGGGATACACTGTTATAGCTGAAGGTTATAGTACAGTAATTCAGAGAGTAGAGGTATATTATATTTGTATTTATAAAGCAGGGAGGATACACTGTTATAGCTCAAGTTATAGTACAGTAGTTCAGAAAGTAGAGGTATATTATATTTGTATAATGCAGTGGGGGATACACTGTTATAACTGAGTGTTATAGTACAGTAGTACAGAAAGTAGAGGTATATTATATTTATTTATAAAGCAGGGAGGATACACTGTTATAGCTGATGGTTATAGTACAGTAGTACAGAGAGTAGAGGGTATATTATATTTATTTATAAAGCAGGGAGGATACACTGTTATAGCTCAGAGTTATAGTACAGTAGTACAGAGAGTAGAGGGTATATTATATTATGTATCACGTGGGGGGATACACTGTTATAGCTGAAGGTTATAGTACAGTAATTCAGAGAGTAGAGGGTATATTATATTTATTTATAATGCAGGGAGGATACACTGTTATAGCTGAGGGTTATAATACAGTAGTACAGAGAGTAGAGGGTATATTATATTTATTTATAACGTAGGGAGGCTACACTGTTATTGCTCAGGGTTATAGTACTGTAGTTCAGAGAGTAGAGGGTATATTATATTTATTTATAACGCGGGGGGATACACTGTTATAGCTGAGGGTTATAGTACAGTAGTTCAGAGAGTAGAGGGTATATTATATTTATTTATAACACAGGGGGGATACACTGTTAAAGCTGAGGGTTATAGTACAGTGGTACAGAGAATAGAGGGTATATTATATGTATTTATAATGCAGGGGGGATACACTGTTAAAGCTGAGGGTTATAGTACAGTAGTACAGAGAGTAGAGGGTATATTATATTTATTTATAACGCAGGGGGGATACACTGTTAAAGCTGAGGGTTATAGTACAGTGGTACAGAGAATAGAGGGTATATTATATGTATTTATAACGCAGGGGGGATACACTGTTATAGCTCAGGGTTATAGTACAGTAGTACAGAGAGTAGAGGGTATATTATATTTATTTATAATGCAGGGAGGATACACTGTTATAGCTCAGAGTTATAGTACAGTAGTACAGAGAGTAGAGGGTATATTATAATTATGTATCACGTGGGGGGATAGCTGAGGGTTATAGTACAGTAGTTCAGAGAGTAGAGGGTATATTATATTTATTTATAACGCAATGAGGGAGGATACACTGTTATAGCTGAGGGTTACAGTACAGTAGTACAGAGGGTAGAGGGTATATTATATTTATTTATAATGCAGTGGGGGGATACACTGTTATAGCTGAGTGTTATAGTACAGTAGTACAGAGAGTAGAGGGTATATTATATTTATTTATAAAGCAGGGAGGATATACTGTTATAGCTGAGGGTTATAGTACAGTGGTACAGAGAATAGAGGGTATATTATATGTATTTATAACACAGGGGGGGGATACACTGTTATAGCTCAGGGTTATAGTACAGTAGTACAGAGAGTAGAGGGTATATTATAATTATGTATGACGTGGGGGGATAGCTGAGGGTTATAGTACAGTAGTTCAGAGAGTAGAGGGTATATTATATTTATTTATAACGCAATGAGGGAGGATACACTGTTATAGCTGAGGGTTACAGTACAGTAGTACAGAGGGTAGAGGGTATATTATATTTATTTATAATGCAGTGGGGGGATACACTGTTATAGCTGAGTGTTATAGTACAGTAGTACAGAGAGTAGAGGGTATATTATATTTATTTATAAAGCAGGGAGGATACACTGTTATAGCTGATGGTTATAGTACAGTAGTACAGAGAGTAGAGGGTATATTATATTTATTTATAAAGCAGGGAGGATACACTGTTATAGCTGATGGTTATAGTACAGTAGTACAGAGAGTAGAGGGTATATTATATTTATTTATAAAGCAGGGAGGATACACTGTTATAGCTCAGAGTTATAGTACAGTAGTACAGAGAGTAGAGGGTATATTATAATTATGTATAACGTGGGGGGATACACTGTTATAGCTGAAGGTTATAGTACAGTAATTCAGAGAGTAGAGGGTATATTATATTTATTTATAAAGCAGGGAGGATACACTGTTATAGCTCAGAGTTATAGTACAGTAGTTCAGAGAGTAGAGGGTATATTATATTTATTTATAAAGCAGGGAGGATATACTGTTATAGCTGAGGGTTATAGTACAGTAGTTCAGAGAGTAGAGGGTATATTATATTTATTTATAACGCAGGGGGGATACACTGTTAAAGCTGAGGGTTATAGTACAGTGGTACAGAGAATAGAGGGTATATTATATGTATTTATAACACAGGGGGGGGATACACTGTTATAGCTCAGGGTTATAGTACAGTAGTACAGAGAGTAGAGGGTATATTATAATTATGTATCACGTGGGGGGATAGCTGAGGGTTATAGTACAGTAGTTCAGAGAGTAGAGGGTATATTATATTTATTTATAACGCAATGAGGGAGGATACACTGTTATAGCTGAGGGTTACAGTACAGTAGTACAGAGGGTAGAGGGTATATTATATTTATTTATAATGCAGTGGGGGGATACACTGTTATAGCTGAGTGTTATAGTACAGTAGTACAGAGAGTAGAGGGTATATTATATTTATTTATAAAGCAGGGAGGATATACTGTTATAGCTGAGGGTTATAGTACAGTGGTACAGAGAATAGAGGGTATATTATATGTATTTATAACACAGGGGGGGGATACACTGTTATAGCTCAGGGTTATAGTACAGTAGTACAGAGAGTAGAGGGTATATTATAATTATGTATCACGTGGGGATAGCTGAGGGTTATAGTACAGTAGTACAGAGAGTAGAGGGTATATTATATTTATTTATAAAGCAGGGAGGATACACTGTTATAGCTCAGAGTTATAGTACAGTAGTACAGAGAGTAGAGGGTATATTATATTTATTTATAACGCGGGGGGATACACTGTTATAGCTGAGAGTTATAGTACAGTAGTTCAGAGAGTAGAGGGTATATTATATTTATTTATAAAGCAGGGAGGATACACTGTTATAGCTAATGGTTATAGTACAGTAGTACAGAGAGTAGAGGGTATATTATATTTATTTATAAAGCAGGGAGGATACACTGTTATTGCTCAGGGTTATAGTACAGTAGTACAGAGAGTAGAGGGTATATTATATTTATTTATAACGCAAGGAGGGAGGATACACTGTTATAGCTGAGTGTTATAGTACAGTAGTACAGAGAGTAGAGGGTATATTATATTTATTTATAACGCGGGGGGATACACTGTTATAGCTGAGTGTTATAGTACAGTAGTACAGAGAGTAGAGGGTATATTATATTTATTTATAAAGCAGGGAGGATACACTGTTATAGCTGATGGTTATAGTACAGTAGTACAGAGAGTAGAGGGTATATTATATTTATTTATAAAGCAGGGAGGATACACTGTTATAGCTCAGAGTTATAGTACAGTAGTACAGAGAGTAGAGGGTATATTATAATTATGTATCACGCGGGGGGATACACTGTTATAGCTGAAGGTTATAGTACAGTAATTCAGAGAGTAGAGGGTATATTATATTTATTTATAAAGCAGGGAGGATACACTGTTATAGCTCAGAGTTATAGTACAGTAGTTCAGAGAGTAGAGGGTATATTATATTTATTTATAAAGCAGGGAGGATACACTGTTATAGCTGATGGTTATAGTACAGTAGTACAGAGAGTAGAGGGTATATTATATTTATTTATAACGCAGGGAGGATACACTGTTATAGCTCAGAGTTATAGTACAGTAGTACAGAGAGTAGAGGGTATATTATATTTATTTATAACGCGGGGGGATACACTGTTATAGCTGAGGGTTATGGTACAGTAGTACAGAGAGTAGAGGGTATATTATATTTATTTATAATGCAGGGAGGGAGGATACACTGTTATAGCTGAGGGTTATAGTACAGTGGTACAGAGAGTAGAGGGTATATTATATTTATTTATAACGCGGGGGGATACACAGTTATAGCTGAGGGTTATAGTATAGTATATATAGTATATATTTATTTATACCGCGGGGGGATACACTGTTATAGCTGAGGGTTATAGAACAGTAGTACAGAGGGTAGAGGGTATATTATATTAATTTATAACGTGGGGGATACACTGTTATAGCTGAGGGTTATAGTACAGTAGTACAGAGGGTAGATGGTATATTATATTTATTTATAACGCAGGGGGAATACACAGTTATAGCTGAGGGTTATAGTACCGTAGTACAGAGGGTAGAGGGTATATTACATTTATTTATAATGCCGGGGGGATACACGGTAATAACTGATGGTTAAAATGTGTGTGGTACAGGGTTAAATTACAAGGGAGTGCAAGGTTATAGGGCAGGATAATAATGTGAGATGTACAAAGTTATAGTGCATAGTTATAACGCAAAAGGGGGGGGATACAGGATTATAGAGTAGGGTTATAATGTGGGGGGGAATGGGAGGGGTAAAGGGATATAATGAAGGGATAGAAGGATATAGTGCCAGGTTACAATGTTGGGATAAATGGATATAATGCAGGGGGTAGAGGGTTATAGTGCCAGGTAACAAGGTGGGATTAAAGCGATATAATGAAAGAGTACAGGGCTATAGTACAGGGGCTAGAAGGTCATAGTGTCAGGGTACAAGGTAGGGTAGAGAGATATAATGAAGTGGTACAGGGTTATAGTGCAGGGTGTAGAGGGTACAATTTGGGGGTAGAGAGATATAATAAAGGTGTTCACTGTTAAAGTGCAGGGGGTAGAGGGTTTTAGTGCCAGTGTACAGGGTTATAGTACAGCGGGTACAGAGAATGTCTGTGTATTTGGGTAGATGGATCGCTGGGTTACCTGGGTCATTGCTGAAAGACACACGTTTTTTTTCCCCTTTCCTCCTTATTGATTTCCATAAAATAACGATTACCACAATCAGTGTGGACGCTGACAGCAACGTGGGGATGATGATAACGGAATTCTGCCAACCATTTTCATCTGAAACGAGAATATAACAATGTACATAACCAAGAGCTCCCTTTCAATCTACACTTTATATTTATGAATTTGTACCTTTAGTAAATAACCCTGTAACAGAATAACCCTGAAAATTTTCTTTAGTGAAAACCCAAATTCAATTTCATATGGATTCTTGCAATTTGAGGCATATCGAGAGCCTCGCAAAAAGTCCCATTTCTAATGGTTTATATTTAGATATTTAGCATTTTATTTACCTCATTTTATGCAGAATAGGGGACGTACATCTCGCAGTCTGTCCAATGTTAGTAGGAGTTACACTCCCAAGTGGCAGCTGACACCATTTTAATGGCAGCAGTCGCCCACTGTTGCCCAGGACTGTGATGCCGGTAAACCACTAATCTCAGTCAGCAGGGACCCAATATGTACCAGTTCTGCCCTAACGGTAAAGACATCCCTGTAACCGCAATACTACCGTAACACTTATCATTAACATGAGCTCTCAACGTCAGCGCCCCGTGAATTGGGACGTCGATGGGAGGGGGGAAAGGATGGGATGGGACAGTGACTTGATTGCTTCACTGGCGCTGGTGAAAAGGGCTGGGTCTGAATAAACGCCAGGCTGCCTGTTAATCAGCCAGACCAGCCCACTGAGGGCAGACCATGTAGGAAGCACAGTTTCAGTGCTGTGTGCAGGATCCTAAATCCCTGAGTGTAGCACAAGGGCACCTATTGATGCACCCGCGTTAAGCGTTTGGCTTTGGCATCCCCAAAAGTTGAACACTAAGGAACAAAATTTGCACAAAATATTATAGCGAATGCTCAACTGATATGGGTTAATTAATTTAGTGAGGCATGCAGTCATGCAAATAAAGGGTGCTAAATTAGGAAAACCTGTTACCCCACCAGGTACATAGTTATCATCGAATAGAATAAAACCCATTTATTCTACACTAAGGAACTAAGTCAGGACAGCAGGAGAGAACCCAAAAATCGTGACTGCTCCAACAAAATCAGGGGTGTTGGGAGGTATGCATTAACATGTATACTGCATTATCACTAACCATTAATGCTGCCTAAAGATGGTTAATAAAGGGCAGACCATATCATGTTTGCTCACAGTTGTTCTGCTATTACATGAGCTGGAGGAACGCCAGGGCATAATCCTAAATCAACCACAGCCTTTCGACACATACATATATAAAGGAGTGACGGGAAACTTGGGAAATACGCCGTAAACTGGGTTACATAGAGCAGTTTGGTTAATTATTGAGTAAAATGGGGTAACGCGGTGTAATACTGGGATACAAAGTGTCATATGGAGTAATATCAAGATATATGAGGTATATGAAGGGGGTAATTTGGTGTAACACTTGAGTGCAGAATGGGGTACATGGTGGAATTACTTGGTACAATATTGGGGTGCAGTTTGTAACAACGTGTTACAGAGGGATATATGAACTAAATGGTGTAATATTGGGGTGCATGGTAAATATTGGGGTTCAAAAAGTAACTTACTTCGTTGGAATTCCCCCGTAGAGCTGTTTGAGGACCGCTGGACTGGGTCCATGGGGGGCTGTCACCAGCCAGAGGTTAGAAGAAGGCGCCTAGACGTTCTGACTGTAAGAGAAGTAAATGAGTAATGAGTATGACTATCTCTGCTCCAATCCATGAGTATCTCATTAAAACAAGCAGGGTTATTCGCTATAGTGAGAATTGCTGGGTATTTAAAGACAAAATAACAAAACTAAAAACAAAACCGACTTGGAGAATTTGTGTAATTGGCTATTGTGACCTAAATTCTGAAATTCCTGGCAGTTCTCGGTCACTTCAGTAAATAACTCTAGGGACATGGTGCATTGAGAAAGGGAACAGCCTCTTGTTTGTTCTATCTACCCAGTAAATAACTCTGTAGGTTTACATTAAACATGTATATAATGCAGACTGCTTTGCTCTTTCTTTCAGATACCACTCTTGACAAGTGTCCCGGCGCAGTGGGCGGAGTTCCGCTGCTTTACTGAAGGTCTCTGCTTGTTATCTATGCAGTAAAGCTATAAAGTAAGTCAGCCGAGCAGATAAACCTGCCAGGTACAGCTTTTATCTATTTATTACTGACAGTGAGCTCTATCTGCGCTAGCACCTGGCCTGCTGTACACTTGAACTTTAGATAATGATGAATAAAACTGACCTTTGCTTGTCAGTAGATTATCTGTATGGGTTATTAGCCCTCCCCATGACTTCTAATTCAATACTTGTGCTGCAGATCTTTATTTTGCATAAGACCATCTTTTTCTATATGGCCATACCTTCCAAGTGTCCCAGTTTAAGAAAAACAGTCCCTATTTAGCAATGTTCACACAACTTCACAGCAGTAAAGCAATAATTTTTATTTAAACTACAATGAACATGGCCTCTACCCATGGCCTCTCTCAGCCATTTAAAATACTGTGGGGACATGTTTCAAAATGGCCGCTGTTCAGCTAAAAAATACAACAGAAAAAAAACATGTCATTTGTGAGCATTTAATAAAGTCTTATGAAGAACTGTCTATATATTGCATTGGCTGTTTAGGAAACAACCCCCTGACATGTATCTAGTAGTTATTTACTACACTGTGAATTTCAACGGTCCTGCAAAATTTGGACTTTTCTCCAATATAGCTTTGATCCACTGATTAGTGAACACATTTTTTAAAGGGTTATTAGGTCAAGTGTAATTTAGTAGGAAATTCAAAGTAAATACAGGGTGAATTTCACATGTTCGACCAGTATAGTTGAACTGCATAAATCGCTTACACAGAAAATGTTCTAATTTTGCTATTTTGATCTAAAATTTGAAATTCTCCTTCAGCATTATTCACTAAAGTGTAAAGTGCCAAGAATTCAAAGTGCATTGTAAATTTTACAAAAATAAGTCCTGCGCTCAAACTCCCACTACTTCTGGCCGGCAGCCATGACTATAGTGCATATCAGCCCCAAAGCATACAATAAAAAACAAAGAAAACAGTTACTTGTGCGCTATTCCAAATCCCTATGTACATTTAAATAACTGGCGGTTTTTACAATCACATTTAAATAACTGGCGGTTTTTACAATCACATTTAAATAACTGGCGGTTTTTAGCATTCTAAAAACCTCTTGTTATTTAAATTTGCATAGGGATTTTGGATAGTGCAAAAGTAACTCTTTTCAATGTAAATTTTAGGCCAGGATATTTTTATGATCTATATGACCCAGAATCGTGATATCTTCGCTCAAACATTATAATCTCTTTCGGTGGTTATGGTAAGTACTACACACATATGTATGTGTTTTTTACTTCTTTTTTTTAACAAAATGAACTTTCTTCTAAGGGGATGACGCGTTCAATGCGATTACATTTCATTTATCAGACATTTTTCCAAACCCAATCAATAAATGATTTTGCAATTTATGAGGCTCAAAGTGCATTGAACTGTTCAAGAGCCACATGACGGTGAGTTCAGTGTAATACACAGAGGGGAGAAGCATTCACGGGTCAATAATTATTCTGTTTTTCCAACCCAGTCTATTTTTAGACATTCTAAAACATTCTAAAAACTAAAATTATTATGAAACACAAAGACAGCATTGTCATATCTGGCATTTCTCGATGCATCATATGGCTGCCAGATCCCGCATGTTTTCCTCGACTCAATAACGTCAGCAGGCTGATGGGCAGGACATGAAAGGCTGCCTCAGTATCTAGCATTCATGAGCTGCCGTAGGCAAATCAACTAAATCCGCAAAAATGAAATCAACTCTAAGTCACCTGTTGAAAATGCCAGTAATATCATGCATAAGGAGGGGTATTACTTCATTTGATCAAAAAACTATTTTGCATGTTTACAAAATAATGGTGCAACACATCTTTAATATAAGGTGCAAGTTTGGACACTGGTTCTAAAGACGGGTTATGGGAGTGGAATTAACTGCAGAGGTGGGCTACAAAATAAACAAGGGGAATGGAAGATTTTAATGAGAGACTGGAAAAACTATCTATATTAGAAAAAAAGGCATCTCAGAGGAAGTTATTATTATTATTATTTTATTATTTATATAGCGCCATCAGATTCCATAGCGCTGTACAATGGGTGGACTAACAGACATGTAATTGTAACCAGACAACTGGACATAGAGGAACGGAGAGGTGGAGGGCCCTGCTCAATGAGCTTACATTCTAGAGGATATGATAACATTATACAAATATACAGAGTGTCAGATCTCTTTAATAAAGAAAAGAAGCTTAACATCTAAACTTGAAGAGGAGATTTCACCTACAGCAAAATAAATAAAGGAGGAGTCTTTACAAGGCAGGTGCTCTGGGCAATTGAGTTTATTTCCACTGAGCTAAAAACCCAGGAAGTATCAGGATCGGTTGTCTAATTGACAGCAAGCAGCCAGGGGGTGCAACAAGATTTAGAAGTGCCAATATCTATTGAAATCTTCACTTTTGTAAAATGTAAAAATAGGGGACACTTTCTTCATAAAGCATTTCAGCAAGATTAAGTTCTTTATGGGCTGGAGGGTGCCTTTCATATGAGGGTAACAGCTGGTGATAAGAGAAATCTGGCTGCCATTTAGGAGCCAAGAAGTATCCCCCCCCACCCCCATTTTATGGCACAATTAGAAATCTATAAAAATGTGTTTTTTGCCTTCTTTTGGATTAACAGTAGGAAGGGAGATATGTCGGAGGCTGAGCCTTAATGCTTATTTTCTCTAGCTAAATAATTCGCTTTTAATGGTTCTGCAGCGTGTGAATTACACAAACTACAAGGGCAGCAATATTCGGGTACTGCCCACAGCATGAAAACGTGATGCAAGCAAGATATTCCGATGCCCAGATGACACCCCTATATGGGCAGTGCCAAAGTTTTGCCAATAGGAAATTTGGATAGCATTACCAAGCATGTAGGAGTACAATACAAGGGGCAGTAATGGTCACTTCTCCCCTGCCAGCCCAACACAGTGTGGATATAGAAACATGAAGGAAGGGACAAAACTAACAGTAGCCTACATATACCAGTAACTAGCCATCTAGAATAAACAGGCCAGTTACATAGCGTTTAAATCACTACAATAAATGTGTTTAGAAATCAGTCTGTGTAAATAAGATACATTGTCCCAGTTATAGATTACATTTTAGATGGATTCATTGTTATTAGTAAGTCACCTACAATTTCTCGGGACAGCCCTGCCCCTTGCACACCCCCACTCACACCCCTAAAATAAAAGATTTGAAATGTTGGGAGGTATGCGGTTATCTCTACGTACATTTAAATAAAAGATTAGGATTCCTGGAAGCGTTTGTTCCCAGTGTGTAAATATACATTAATGTTTATGGAATGTGAATGCCCCAACATTTTTTGGACACAACTGCCAGAAGGTTAATTACCTTTAAAAGGGAATTAACATGAGAATGAATAGTTTTAGTAAATGTTACTCTGCAAAGTTTAAATGGACAAAGTAATAAGCTTTGAAACTATACTGAGTTAAACATTACCTCCTCGTGCTTCTAACCATCACATAATCAAAGAAATCAGGTTTTCGGTTAGTTCCGTATAAGCATTACGAGTCCTCTCAGTGTAGCCACCATTCACACTCCACAGCGGCCATGCCATTTCCACGTCACTTCTCTCACTAAGTAAATTGATACATATCAAAGGCCCTATGAAAACCCATTCCACCTGAAGTAAGTGGATAGTTAATACACAAACACACACCAGTCAAGCCATAACATTTGCTTTTCCTACAGAAATCTCACTTTAACAGTAGCTCTCACTACTGCAAGGGATTCTGGGTAGGTGTATGCATATGAGCTCAACAAAGAACCACATTTTTGCCTCAATTCCACTTTATAATTGATGAATCGATGAATATATATATAAACATCCACTGGAGACCAGTATACCATGCATAAATGAATTGTGGCACCAATTGTGAAGAATCTGCAGGTTCCAGCATTGCTTTGAACATGATGAAAGAAAAACACTATCTACTCGAACGGTAAAAACGCATGAATCGTAACTTTATTTATGTACAAAACATGGCTTGGACACACCGGGGCAGCACCAGATCTACTCTCCAACGCGTTTTGCCTCTTAACGGCATTTACTCAGACAAGGTTCAAAACGCGTTAGGGTGTAGATCCAGGGCTGTCCCCTGTGTCCAAGCCATGTTATGTACATGAATAAAGGTATGAGTCATTTGCTTTTACCATTCAGGTGGACTGAGTCTCTCTTCTTCATCTGATTTCCGGTGTTTCTTTCACAACATTGATGAGTAACCTGGGAGATCACAAATGTATCCTAGATTGCTGCTTACAGAACATCCTGAACGCCATTTTATCACATAAACAAATCAAATATTTCTTAATTTTGCTAATAAAACAAAAGCTTTCTCACTGCGGACAACATTCATATTCCTACAATTTCAATAGTTAATATCAGAGGACTACAACTGTGCTGATCACAAAGGATTTTTATCCGCTAAACGATGAATTGTGCATTATTCGCTAAAGTGAGAATTCAAAGTGAATTTTAGGCAATGGTTAAAGTAAATGAAAGCATGGCTGAATTAGAGAATATTTCCATTTTGGATACTTTGACCTTAAATTTATTTGGAAATTGAAAATAAAGGGCTTAAACCCCTTAGTTAATTTTGGTAAACTCTAGGCTAGGGACTCTATCATAGACTGTTAAGCTTGGCTATTGAGGCTGTAGATTACATTTGGTTCTCTGTTCTTGCAATTCTGATAAAGATCATTCTGGTATTTTAGGAAACGTATCTCTCGGAGCGAAAAGACATTTTTAATCCGATACCAAAACACATATTAACTATTATAACACGCGTCATAACAGGAATAATAAGAGCTTTGTGTGATCCCGCCAGTTACCGAGTCAGGAATGGGAGTAAATCCTTGCTTTTCCAGTCAGAGACGATCAATCACGCATTACGAGTCACCCTCGAGTTGGATCGCCAGGAACAGGCGCAGATTATTCTACAAACACTGGTATCCTGGCTCCTGTTTACATTTAGTTTCATATGTTTGTTCAGCCGGATGGATATTAACTCCTTGTGGTGGATATTTGGAGTTATTATTATATATTGTAATAATGGGATTATTGGCATCACCCGAACCTTATGAAGGTGGGGGACGGGGACAGTGGATTTGCACTGCAAGACAATACGTTGTTTTTTTTTAGACGTATTCAGTATTTATTTTATATCAAACTAATGGGATCCGCTTACTGCTAAATGAATTGATTTCCCTCTGGCAGAGCTTAAAATCCTTGTAATGCTGGGAAGCAATTTTCTTATCTCTGACCCTTTGAACAAATAAAACAAAAATGTAAGAAATTGTGCAAATTGTGCCAACAACAACTCAAACATAGTGGTAACAAAAAGGAGCCCTAGACAAACACTGATGCTAGAGGCATTAACATTAGAAGTTTAAAAAAGGAAATACAGTATGGTCAGATTGTTAAATTTACTGATATCGCACTTGCCCGCAACAACTGTTACTTTTATAATTTATAACTTTTATAATTAAACGCTGTTACACTTCACTGGCTGTCAATCAGACAACAGGCCCTGTAACTTCCTGGTATCGTTAACTCAATGTAGATAAACCGAAGAGGCAGCAATTGCTCAGTGCACTTGCCTTGCAAATACTTCTCATTGAGCTGCATTGGAAAGTCTGTGATTGGACAGCCACAGAAAGTCTGGGTGGGGTTAGAAGGGGAGGGTTTGCAAAGACATCTCATTGAACTGCATTGGGAAGTCTGGGATTGGACAGCCACAGAAAGTCTGGGCGGGGTTAGAAAGCTAGTGATTGCAAAGGCTGCAGACAAGATATCTATATGTTTTGCAAGTTTTTTTTTTAGATATACCCACTATGACAAAACATGCATGATTAAAGGAACACTATGGTGTTAAAAATACAAACGTATTCCAAACACTATATTGCTGGACTACCAGTTTAGGTGCCCAGTTCCCTTGAGATTGGAGATATAAAGGTACTTTACTCAGCTTTTCGCCATCACCGCGCTAGTCTCGCGTAGGAGAAACTAATTAAAGGGGCACTCCAGTATCCTAAAGCACATCACTGTCATACCTGGTGTCCCGCGCCGTCCCGGTCCCGCCGTCCGTCCTCTCATGTCGGGCGGTGTGGATCGCTGGCGGGCGTTGCATGCGTGCGCCTACGGGGGCGCGCATGCGCGCACAAGGTAACCGGCAGGGATGGCGTGGACTCCAAATTTAAAGGGATAGTGGCCTATTGCCACTATCAATTTATACCTCCTTCAATTCTGTCCCTGCCTATCAGTATTCACCTTGCCCTATATTAACCTCCTTCTGACATCACTTCCTTGCCCTGTCGTGGTTTATTATTAGCCCGAGAGTGCATTCTGAGTAGTTGTCTTTTCTCTGGTTCCTGACTTCAGCTTGTTTATTGGTTATTCTCATTTCTGGCTCCCTGACCTTGGCTTTGTCTATTTCGCTTTCCCGTATCTCTGTATTCCTGACCTTGGCGTGTTTGACTATTCTTATCTCTCGTTCCTACGTTAAGTCCGGCCACTTTAAGGTCCGGTAATACGTCTATCTGTGTTCGCCTTTATTGTTCTCTGGTTTGCGTGTTGGGGAGTGTTAACCTTGACATTACGACAGGGCCATGGACCCTGCAAACCTGGGACAACAAATGGCTGCATATGAAAATAGAATAGAGGGGTTAGATCATAGAATGGATCAGTTTGCCCAAGCCTTGCAAACTATCCTCACCAGAACCAGAGGTAGAGGACAGTAGTTCTCAAGGTGCTGTCGCTCTACCTTCTGCGACTCATTCCACTCCATCTATTCGTCTAACTCCCCCTCCTCGTTATTCCGAGGATCCATCATTATACAGGGGATTTTTGAACCAGGTGGGCGTACATTTTGAAGTAGCCCCTGATTCATTCCCTACTGATAGGTCTAAGATTGCATTCATTATGAACCTATTAGAAGGTAGAGCCCTGGCTTGGATAAATCCCTTGTGGGAGAATAATGACGTGATTGTCTTTAATTTTGAATTGTTCCTCAGGACTTTCCGTAATGTGTTCAATCCCCCAGGCAGAAAGAGACTAGCAGCCAGAGCATTGTTAAAAATCAAACAAGGATCTAGAACAGTGGCCGATTATGCTATCGAATTTCGCACCTTGGCCTCTGAATTGACTTGAAATAACAGTGTTCTAACAGCTGTGTTTTTTGAGGGTCTTAATGAGTCCTTACAGGAAGAAGTGGCAGCCATGGATTTACCAGAACTCCTAGAAGACCTTATACAGTATATGTCAGATATTGATATCAGGGTTAGACAGAAGCATCTTCATTTAGATAGACAAAGGAGGGCTTTAGGAAGAATCACTCCTCGTCCAATGATAACCGGATTACCCGCTTTGCCAGCTCCTGGATTCGATTCTGAACCCATGCAACTGGGTAACACAAGACTCTCTGAGGCTGAGAAGTCTTACAGAAGAAGAGAAGGGTTGTGCCTATCCTGCGGTCGTAAGGGGCATTTGCGTAACAATTGCCCATCACGTCCGGAAAACTCTACCACCTAAGCTCATTCAGGGGACTGGTCTTGGGTGTGATGTCTCTGTCCCCTAAAACAAATTCATACAGATGTGTTATGCATGTAACCCTATTCTGGGAAAGTGTTAGTCATCTCACTATGGCCCTCATTGACTCTGGATCTGCGGACAACTTTATTGACCAGACCTTTGCTACAGCTCTTTCTCTTCCTTTGGAGGAGCAAGAAACACCCTTGGCCTTTGAGGCCATAGATGGTAGACCATTAACAGTCCCCTATGTTATGCATCAAACCAAGACTGTTATTTTATCTATAGGTGCTACCCATAAAGAGAAGTTGTCTTTCCAGGTCATTTCTTCCCCTTTGGTTCTTGGTTTTCCATGGTTACAAAAACATAACCCTGTTATTGACTGGAGAGAAAGTCAAATTCTGTCTTGGAGTACTTCCTGTAACCGTTCATGTTTAACTCAGGTTAAACCCCTTTGTTCTCTTAATGTTCCATCAGCTCTTCCACTTTCCACTAACGTACCGCCTCAGTACCAAGACCTGGCGAAGGTCTTTGATAAAATACAGGCAGACCGTCTTCCTCCACATAGGCCTTATGATTGTGCTATCAAACTCCTCCCTGGTACCATGCCCCCCAAGGGGAGGGTTTACCCTCTTTCTCAAAATGAAAATAAGGTTATGGAGGAATATGTACAAGAATCTCCATAAACTTATTTTCAGACGTTCCTCTTCCCCTGCAGGGGCTGGCTTCTTTTTTGTGGCCAAAAAGGAGGGGGATTTGCGTCCCTGCATAGATTATAGGGGTCTGAATAAAATTACTCTAAAAAATGCGTATCCTATACCACTGATAACAGAGCTCTTTGACAGGCTTCGTGGTTCTAAAATCTTTACTAAATTAGACCTTAGAGGAGCTTACAATCTCGTTCACATTAAAGAGGGAGACGAATGGATGACGGCATTTAATATTCGAAGCAGTCATAATGAGTATACGGTAATGCCCTTTGGTCTATGTAATGCCCCAGCAGTCTTCCAAGAATTTAGCAATGATGTCTTACGAAATTATTTGCACACTTGCGCTATTGTGTATCTTGATGACATTCTTATTCATTCTCCTAATATTCAGATACATCACCAACAAGTTAGAAATATTTTACAGACCCTTCTTGCTAATGGCTTATTTTGCAAACTTGAGAAATGTCTGTTCGATCAGACTTCTATTCAGTTTTTAGGGTATATAATTTCTACTGAGGGATTTCAAATGGACCCTAAAAAACTATCTTCTATTCTTGAATGGCCCTTACCCATTGGTTTCAAGTCCATACAGAGGTTCATTGGATTCGCTAACTATTATAGAAAATTTATAAAAGGCTTTTCCCAGATTCTATCACCAATCACAGCTATGAGATGCCAAGAAGGGAGCTAATCATGTCAGTTGGTCTGCGGAAGCCAAAGCTTCTTTCACTCTCTTGAAGAAATCTTTTGCCTCAGCTCCCGTCCTGGTACATCCAGACCCCTCTAGACCCTTCATCCTTGAGGTTGATGCCTCTGAGACCGGTGTGGGAGCTATCCTTTCCCAGAGGGAATCCCCTACCGCTCTGTTGCATCCTTGTGGATTCTTTTCTCGTAGGCTGACACCTGCAGAAAAGAATTATGATATCGGTAATAGAGAATTATTAGCCATAGTATCAGCTCTCAAGGAATGGCGTCACTTACTTGAGGGATCTACGGTTCCTATCATGATTCCCACCGATCATAAGAATTTATACTATTTGAGTGACGCTAAGAGGCTTTCGCCCACACAAGCCCGCTGGGCTCTTTTTCTTTCTCGCTTCAATTATGTAATCTCCTATAGACCGGGTAATCGGAACACCAAAGCAGATTCTCTTTCCAGACAGTTTTCCACTCTTGATAAAGAGGAGGTCAGACCAGAACCCATTATACCTCCTGAGAGAATCATTGCTTTGACTAGAATCAGAGTCGCTCCCCCTCTTCTGCACAAGATCCAAAGGGTCCAAGATAGGGCACCTAGTGATAAGCCAGTTGATAAATTCTACGTGCCTCCAGAGCTAAGAGGGGAAGTATTCAGCCATTACCATGAGAGTAAAATTTGAAGTTGAGGCTTACGTATCTTCGTGTGACTTTTGTTCCCAATCTAAACCTTCTCATCAAGTACCATGTGGTCTTCTTCATCCTCTTCCTTTGCCATTAGTTCCTTGGTCTCATCTGTCTATGGCTTTTATAATAGAGTTGCCACAATCTAAGGGTTTTACTGTCATTTTGGTTATAGTTGATCGTTTCTCTAAAATGGCGCATTTCGTACCTTTGAGAAAATTGCCTTCTTCTGCTGAATTAGCCAGTATATTCACCAAGGAAATTATACGACTACACGGAATGCCAGACGTCATTGTGTCTGATAGGGGTTCACAATTTATTTCAAAGTTTTGGAGGGGTTTTTGTAAAGACATGGGCATTGAACTCGCCTTCTCTTCAGCCTATCATCCTCAAACGAATGGTGCTGCTGAAAGGACTAATCAAAGCCTTGAACAATATCTCCGTTGTTTTACGTCTCAACTCCAGGACAACTGGGCTGACCTTCTTCCTTGGGCTGAATTCGACAGGAATAATGCTACGCACTCTGCTTCTGGTCACAGTCCCTTCTTTGTCACGTATGGTCGTCATCCTAATCTTCTTCCGGCTTCGTTTTCTCACAAGGGAATGCCGGTGTTGGATGAACACTTATCCACTGTACATGCCACTTGGAGAATGGTTAATGCCATCTTGGAGAAGACTATGCTTACTCAGAAAGCATTTGCTGATAGGCACCACAGGGCGGCACCTTCTTATGTTGCTGGTGATAGAGTTTGGTTACCCACGCGTAACCTGCGCTTACGCATTCCCTCAATGAAGTTGGCTCCTAAGTTCATTGGTCCTTACAAGGTTTTGTGAAGGATCAATCCTGTTTCCTATGCTTTGGATTTGCCCAAAAACCTTCGTGTGCCCAACGTCTTTCATACGTCCCTCCTGAAACCGCTTATATGCAACAGTCATTCCCGTTCCCAACCTCGTCCTCCTCCTGTCTTGATTCATGGTCAAGAGGAGTATGAGATCCAACATATTGTCGACTCCCGCATCTCCCGGAGTTCGCTTCAGTACCTGGTTCATTGGAAAGGTTATGGGCCAGAGGAGCGATCATAGGTTCCTGCTTCTGAGGTCCATGCGCCCCGACTCCTTAGGGCGCTCCATGCTAGGTTTCCTTCTCGCCCTTCTGGTGTTCCTCCAGTGGGCGTTCCTTCGGGGGGGGGTTCTGTCATACCTGGTGTCCCGCGTCATCCCGATCCCGCCGTCCGTCCTCTCATGTCGGGTGGTGTGGATCGCTGGCGGGCGTTGCACACGTGCGCCTCTGGGAACGCGCGCGCATCTGGGAGAGCGCCGGGGATGTCAGCGCGCGCACAAGGTAACCGGCAGGGATGACGTGGACTCCAAATTTAAAGGGATAGTGGCCTATTGCCACTATCTATTTATACCTCCTTCAGTTCTGTCCCTGCCTATCAGTATTCACCTTGCCCTATATTAACCTCCTGCTGACATCACTTCCTTGCCCTGACGTGGTTTATTATTAGCCCGGGAGTGCGTTCTGAGTAGTTGTCTTTTCTCTGGTTCTTGACTTCGGCTTGTTTATTGGTTATTCTTATTTCTGGCTCCCTGACCTTGGCTTTGTCTATTTCGCTTTCCCGTATCTCTGTATTCCTGACCTTGGCGTGTTTGACTATTCTTATCTCTCGTTCCTATGTTAAGTCCGGCCACTTTAAGGTCCGGTAATACGTCTATCTGTGTTCGCCTTTATTGTTCTCTGGTTTGCGTGTTGGGGAGTGTTAACCTTGACAATCACATTGCTTTGCGGGGTTTAGAGCCCTCTCTGTCTTATGTAATAAAAGTGCCAATTTCAAGAAAAAGCTGCAATTTTACAAATACCTTTAGTAACACCTGTTTGACAGCCGGGTGGGTTTCCCACCTCATACACTTTGAATTGTAGCTCAGAGTGGTAGTGAGGGCATTTCATAGAGAATCCCTTTCGGCAGAGTGTGGAGATTGCTGTGCATGCGCCATGTGTCGCAATCTGAGTAGCATCAGATTGGAAACAATTCGTTAGTAACCTACCCCACATGTTCCCTATATAGTGATTTCATTTTTTTATGCCATTGGCACGGAACTCACCTAAGTATTTTGCCTTGTCCCATGTGCCGTGTGCTGCTGCTCTCCGGGATCACAATGAGAGCACATACCGTACAGCCAGTTATTCAATGTAATCCCGCCACCATAACTAATAGACGGTTTGTGCAGTAAAGTCCTGTTCACCAGAAAATCATCACGGGGCTATATTACTAATTATTTTTAAATTACGCACCAGATTTGAAAAGCAGCTTCATGATGTAATATTGCAAAAATCCCCCAAAAAACAAAAAACATTCATATCCTCCTAACCCACAACCCCACTAACACCTATGGTTTAAATTTAAAGGACACTATAGTCACCAAGACAGCTTTAGCTTAAGGAAGCCGATTTGGTATATAGATCATACCCCTGTAGTCTCACTGCTCAATTCTCTGCCATTTAGGAGTTAAATCACTTTTGTTTCTGTTTATGCAGCCCTAGCTACACCTTCCCTGGCTGTGACTGGCACAGCCTGCAGGAAAACAAAATGGCTTAATGTTACTTATTTTAAAAGTTTGTATCTCCTGCTCTGTAAATTGAACTTTAATTACATACAGGAGGCTCCTGCAAGGTCTAGCAAGCTATTAACAGACAATGAGATCAGAAATTCTAAATTAAACAGAATTCGCAATAAAGGAAGTGTAAACATTAGATGACTCTTTACAGGAAGTGTTTAGGAAGGTTGTGTAAGTCACATGCAGGGAGGTGTGACTAGGGCTGTATAAACAAAGTTATTTAACTCCTAAATGGCAGAGAATTGAGCAGTAACATTGCAGAGGCATTATCTATACACTAAAACTGCTTTGTTGAGCTAAAGTTGTTATGGTGACTACAGTGTCCCGTTTAGCCTGAGATAGGGATAAAGACAGTGAAAGGGGGGACAGAATTGTGGGAAGATAATGAGATGGGTGTTCTGTTCCCAGTTTCGCCATAAAGGTTAAAGCAGAGCCCCGCCAGATCCCAGGCAGCAATATACACCATATTTCCCCAAATTCATATCACATATAACTATTGATGGACAACACTTGAAAAGTGCTGCCCAGCATTATGCTGAATTTGAGATATACAAGTAGGAATCAACAACGAAGAATGTTGCATCACATATATTCTACATACTGCAAGGGTAGCACTGATACATATGATATATCCAGGAAAAATAGGGGTGAGGGAGGGGTGGTCTGGAAACTCTGTGTCCACTGCTGTGTACAATTTATGTGCTACCTGTTTAGTGCGATTTACCCAATCACAGTTGGGATCTTAAATAAACCGCCATAATTAATTCATTAATTGATTTCAGGCAGGAAACACAAATTACACATACAGATGGACAGCCCTGCTCAGCAGAATGTATAAACTGTAAATATGGCAATCTGACAACCTTATATGGAGGGACAGCCTGGTACAATAAGGAAACAGAGTTAAAGAGGAGGAAGACAAAATAAACAGATAGCAGAGTATTAAATAAATAGAAATAGCCGTGTTCTTAAATGTCTCCCGTTCTGTGTGCGGTAGCTGGTAACTTACCCCTTTCACATATTGACTTTTTGGGGCCGACCTGAAACCTCATGAAGTCCAGTCCTCTCCAGAGCGGATTAGTGTCAGGTACAATGTATAGGGCTGGGCAAGTCTCAGCCTCTTATGTGGAATAAACAATTACTGCACAAAACAATTCCCTGCAGTTTGTCCAGTAATTACACAGCTCCCTGGAGGGACTCAAACGTGTATAGACAAAATGTACACAGCTATCAGCCGTGCATAGTCAAAATGTACACAGCTATCAGCCACCAATAACCATCACACAATGTACACAGCTATCAGCCTGCTAATAACCATGACACAATGTACCCAGCTATCACTCGCCAATAACCATTATAGTGAACGCAATCACCAATAACCATCACACAATGTACACAGCTATCAGCCTGCTAATAACCATGACACAATGTACCCAGCTATCACTCGCCAATAACCATTATAGTGAACGCAGCCACCGATAACCATCACACAATGTACACAGCTATCAGCCTGCTAATAACCATCACACAATGTACCCAGCTATCAGCCTGCTAATAACCATCACACAATGTACCCAGCTATCAGTCGCCAATAACCATTACAGTGAACGCAGCGACCAATAACCATCACACAATGTACCCAGCTATCAGTCGCCAATAACCATTACAGTGAACGCAGCGACCGATAACCATCACACAATGTACCCAGCTATCAGTCGCCAATAACCATTACAGTGAACGCAATCACCAATAACATGATGAACGCAGATATCAGCCACCAATAACACAATGAAGGAAGCTATCAGCCACCAATAACCGTCACATGTAGAGCGCAGCTATCAGTCGCCAATAACCATCACACGATGTACACAGCTATCAGCCACCAATAACCAATACCACGATAAAGGAAGGAATCAGCCACCAATAATGATCACGTGATGAGTGGCGTTATCGTCACTTATAATGATCACAAGAGGAACAGAGCAATCAGTCACCAATAACAATCGCACAATGAATGGAACAATCCCCTGTTAATTACCATCAAACGATGAATAGTGCTACCAGCCTCCAGTAACGATCATAGTACAAACAGAACTACCAGTCTATCCTGCCAATAACCATCACATTACAAACTGAGCCAGCCACCCAACACAATGCTCCCTCTTCATAAAACAAACTTTGCCCTGTGTGTGAGACACGCTTCCACCTGTTACACATGTAGAGCCCTAACATGACATGCAGCTTATCTCTTCACACTGATTGGGTGACAGTAAATGACAGAGGGGTTGAATTTTAACCCAGGTGACTGCCGGAGACAGGGCACACATACTGGTGGCTGCGTCACTGACACTGCTTGTACAACAGTGCCTCGTGTGTCACACAGTGTTTAACCCCTTCAGGACCAGGCTTTTTTTTTTATAGTACGTAAAAAGGACACTCTGTGCACCTTAACTAGTACATGTCAGTGTCGTAAACATGCTGCCAATAATTTATAGGTGAGATTCAAAAACTGGTGCTCTCTCTGCAATCCACAGAATGTCCCTCGTTGGATGATTTGAGAAAGCAGAATTCACACCTGTGCAATAGCACTAAAGGGACACCCCAGGCACTATGACCACTACAGAAGACATGCATTGGTGCCTTCCGTACCCATGTAAGTAGTCAGATTATTTTAGAATTTAGGGTTTTAAGGCACTGCTCCCCCCGCCCCCCTACACACTGGAGGTGCTCTCCTGAGATAAGCATGCACCACTGGGCTTAGCTCAGGCTGAGAGTGGCACCTAGACAACTTTAAAAATTTAAACCATTCTAAAGTGGCTCAACTACTTACATTGGGGGCACACTATAGTGGTTATGGTGCATAGTAGATTAGCAACCCATACACTAAGCTCTACCAATCTGTAGTGGTCGCTACGGAGGCTGTCGATAAATCTCCTTCATGGTGATGTCTCTAGTAATAGTTTGTCGCTTCTCATGGCCCTACAATCCTATCTCAAGGTCAAACATCGGGGGGAGGGGGGGAATAAATGATACATCTACATCGGTTTCTAATTTGTTACAAAATATTTACCTGTTGCCAAGTTTGTATATTGTCCATTCTATGCTAATATAGGTTGTCTCCATAGAAGTCAAACCTCCCCCAAGCCATTCTGTCTCAATAGCCACTAGCTACCCAGTCTCCATAACATCTCCAGGATCAATCACACGCAGAAAATATTGAGAAGACCAAGTCTGAACATAGGAGTGCTATACAAGTCCAACATCAGACTGAATCTCATCTGTGTCCTCCTGTGGAGCTTTGTCATACACTAATTAACAATGCACATTACTGCAGGTTTTATTGCTGTGGAACTCTGTGATACACTCATACATGTTAGACCAGGTGTCCCATATCAGGTAGTACAGCGCGAGTGTATTAGTGTATTATTAGACGCGCTCGCATAGTGCAGTGGGCAATAGGGCCCTGCAGAAAGCGCTTCAGCAGCACACCCTGAATTGCTTTGATGGCTGGGGGCCGGCCAGAAATCCATGTCAGGATCGCCCATTAAAGGGACACCATAGGCACTGTATCTGCTTCATCTCATTAAACTGGTTATAGTGTCTGCTTCATCTCATTAAAGGACCACTATAGTGCCAGGAAAACATAGTCGTTTTCCTGGCACTATAGTGCCCTGAGGGTGCCCCCACCCTCAGGGACCCCCTCCCACCCGGCTCTGGAAGGGGGAAAGGGTTAAAAACTTACCTTTTTCCAGCGCTGGGCGGGGAGCTCTCCTCCTTCTCTCCTCCTCCTGGGCTGAATGCGCACGCGCGGCAAGAGCTGCGCGCGCATTCAGCCCGTCGCATAGGAAAGCATTTACAATGCTTTCCTATGGACGCTTGCATGCTCTCACTGTGAAAATCACAGTGAGAAGCACGCAAGCGCCTCTAGTGGCTGTCAATGAGACAGCCACTAGAGGAAATAGGGGGAAGGCTTAAGTGGTCTGGGTGCCTAGAGTGGTCCTTTAAACTGGTTATAGTGGTACTATCATTTTTTTCAGCATTAACATTTTTTTATGTTTTAATGCTAAACAAGAGTCCCCAGCAGTCCATCCCCATAAGGAAGTATTAGCCTGAGCAGCAATGGGCAGCTGTGATTGGCTCAGAGTGTGAGCTGACTGCTTTTAGCCTGTCAGAGCTCCAACTGATGGTATGAATGGGTATGACAACAAGGAAGTGTGTAATCTCTGCCTTAGCTACACATACAGAAGCAGTAGCGGATCCAGAGCCTGACCTCGGGAGGGGCACTTGAAGATTATTTAGAGAAATAATGCAGACACAATACCCACTACAGCTCAGTGTAGTGGTTATGGTGCCAGTAGTGCCGGGACCCCCTCCCAGAGTAAGTAGTCAAACTGTTTAAGAACAGTTTGACAACTTACCTGAGGTCTGCTTGGAAATGGGGATGTAGTAGGGCATAGGAGCAGGGGTGCAGTGTGTGTGTGTTTGTGTAAGAAGGACTGTGTGAGCAGTGTGTGTGTGTGAAAGTTGCAGTGTGTATGTGAGGATGGCAGTGTGTGTTATGGGGCAGTGTGTGTGTGTGCGTTGCAGTGTGAGTGGGGGGAAGTTTGTGTGTGGGGGGCCAATGTGTGTGTAGGGTGTGTGTGTGTATTGGGGCAGTGTATGTGGGCAATGTGTGTGTATGGGGGAAGTGTATGTGTGTGTATGGGGGCAGTGTTTGTGTGTGGGAGCAGTAGTGTATGTGTATGGTGGGCAATGTGTGTATGGGGGCAGTGTATGTATGTGGGGCAATGTGTGTATGGGGGCAGTGTATGTATGTGGAGGCAGTGTGTGTATATGGGGGCAGTGTATGTGTATGGGGCAGTGTATGTATGTGGGGGCAGTGTATGTGTATGGGGGCAATGTGTGTGAATGGGGGCAATGTGTGTGTATGGGGCAGTGTATGTGTGTGGGCAATTTGTGTGTATGGGGCAGTGTGTGTGTATGTGGGGCAGTGTATGTATGTGGGGCAATGTGTGTGTATGGGGCAGTGTATGTATGTGGAGGTAGTGTGTGTGTATGGGGGCAGTGTCTGTATGTGGGGGCAGTGTATGTGTGTGGGGGCAGTGTATGTATGTGGGGGCACTGTATGTATGTGGGGGCAATGTATGTATGTGGGAGCAATGAGTGTGTATGGGGGCAGTGTATGTGTGTGTGTAGGATATGTGTGTGATAAGGATGGGGGGCTTTTTTTATATATATTTTTTAAATTTGATAAAATTACCTTTGTTTAGGGAGGAGGGGGGACATTTCTCGATACCTGGTGGTCCGGTGGGGAATCCCTGGTGGTCCATGTGGTGAGAGTGAACTCTAGTTCACTCACGCGAGATCTGGAGCGTGGCCGTGGCAGTGGCAATGCTCCATGCTCGCGAGAGAAGGACCTGGAGGAGCTGCAGACTGAGCTCCCCCAGGTCCTCTCTCTCTCCCTCCTCTGCCGGCGGCCAGCAAACAGTGCCTGCGGACCAGAGAGGGAGATCTCTGATCACCCCTCAGGTCCATGAAGGCACATTGCAAGGCTGGCGCTTGGATAGCGCCAGCCCAGCATTAGCCAGCAGGGGAGAGGAAGAACCTCGGATTCTCGGGGGGGGAGACAATTGCCCCGTTGCCCCCCCCCCCCTGGATCCGCCAGTGTACAGAAGGGGCTGGACTGTGGGTGGCCAGGGACTCCTATTTTGTGGCATACTGCATGAACATGGTGCAACACTGAATGGAGGGGCAGTGCTAGGGCACTCCAGGCACGTTAACCAATTCAAAGAGATGAAATGGTTATAGTGACTACAGTGTTCCTTTAAGGGCGTCACGCCACTGGTGATGCACCCTCACAACCCCACCTCATCCCAATTCCATACCTCTCATTATTGGGAGGTACTCTACACATAACTGTTGGATTTTTTTTACTACGGAGATACACATTGCACATTACTGGGAGTTATATTGTTGTGGAGCTCTGTGATACACTCACACACATACCGCTACATAGCACTGTGAAATGTATTTATGTAGGACTATGTGATACACTCATACATACTGCACATTACCGTTCAATTTATTAATCATTACGTTTTATTGCTCATTCTGAGTTGCTAAAACCAAAGATTTCAGTCCCAGTAAGGCATAAATAGAATTGTTGGATATCTTTGAAAATTCAGTGGGCCCCAACACAGATTCATTGGAATTAGGGAGTTAGTAAGCAATCTCTGGTAGCAAACAAAGCAATTCACTAAACAACACAAAATACTACACAACAAAACATTGTATGTGATTTTTGGCATCCCTTATATGACAGAGATTATGTAATATAAACATTCCAGAATTTACAATTAATTTAATATTTTAATAATAATAATTTTCTTAATATTAATTCAATTTTAAAAGTTTACAAAAATAAATTTTTATTATCTGAAAAGGTTATCCAAAATATTAATTCAAGGTCCCTATCTGGATGGACTTCACTGATGGGATTCCATCCCACGAGCAACAAAGTTTATATATCTAATGCAGCAGCAGGAACTTTTCCGCTTTCGCAATATCGTAAGAGGATTTGGGCTGCGGACGTTCCGGGGATCCAGATATAAACTGCTGCTAAATAGAAGCCCACTCTGTAGTCTAAAGTGCACATCCTTCCAATCACCAGAAGGTGGCGATACATTACTTAGAAGCTGAGTGGCGTTTATTTATTAAAAGAGGAATTGTTGAGATTTGATATCAGAGATGGCACATTTTAAGTGAATCTGAGATGTCAGGTTCCATTTTAGCTATAACTATTCCTAAATTAATGAATGCACCATTTGACATGAATATGAATTATGTATTAATTTGCTCTGGGAACGCTTATGGCTTGACACTAATGCAGCGTTTCCCAATTGGTGTTCCGCCAAATTTTCTAAAAACACAATGGTCGCGGGCGGCGAAGGGGCAGCGATCTCCCTGCTCAGCTCCCTCGCGCGTACAGCAGTGATGCTTGAGCCGGAATATGACATCACTCTGGCATCACTAAGAGGCACGCAAGGAAGCTGAGCAGGGAGATCACTGCTTTCTCGCCACCCACACGCCAGCAGCCCCACTGGACCCCAGGGACAGCACACCCCTGGGGTCCAGTGGGGCTGGTGAGCATCTGGCATGCAGGTGGCGAGGGAGCAGTGATCTCCCTGCTCAGCTCCCTCGCGCGTACAGCAGTGATACTGGAGCTGGAATATGACATCACTCCGGCATCACTAAGAGGCACGTGAGGGAGCTGAGCAGGGAGATCACTGCTTCCTTGCCGCTCAGCAGCCCCACTGGACCCCAGGGACAGCACACCCCTGGGGTCCAGTGGGGCTGGTGAGCATCTGGCGTGCAGGCGGCGAGGGAGCAGTGATCTCCCTGCTCAGCCCCCTCGCGTGCCTCTTAGTGATGCCGGAGTGATGTCATATTCCGGTTCCAGCATCACTGCTGTAAGCGCAAGGGAGCTGAGCAGGGATAAAGGGTTCCACGGGAAAAATTAATTGGGAACCCTTGCACTAACATAACACTCACTCTCCAGGCATTCTCCCTCACGCTAAACAGTAATTGGTCCTTCCCCAAGCGAGGCAATACTCCCAAATGATGCCAACCTGCTGCATCAGAACATCTAACTCTCCGCTGGCATGGAAGAATTCTTGGCCAAGGAATGTTATTGTGACTGAGAGCAGGAGAATCTCCTGTCAGTTACGTGAAGAGTTCTATGCTGAGGATTGACAGGTGAGTGAGGGGCTATTTTTTTTAAAAGCATTAATTTAAAGTTTACATGTTTGTTTAGCATTGTTTTAATTTTTTTAAATGTAATGCTGGTCATTAGAATCCCAAAATGTGTGTACCAGGCCAATATCCCCAAATAGGAGAAATCTTTCCAACTGAAAAAAAATGGGCCATTCCCTTGTTGATTGTTTACATGATTTCTCAGTTTAGCGGATAATGCCATTGAGTGTCTAACTGTCAGGATTTGATCTCGGTGGCTGCTGTGTTACTCAATGGTCTATTTAAACAGGGACACATGGGTGGAATCCTCTGGGGAGATTTCATTGGGTGCTACACTGTGCATGTCCAATATCCAAGCACAGAAAGCCTTTATAATACAGGATCTGACAAACGCATGATATAAGCACACATTCTGGGGTTTTCACAGAAGTGTGAAATGTCAGCAAATACAAAGAGAATTTCAAAATGTTTCCAATTTAGTTATTTTGGCCACAAATTTGAAATCAATTTTAAAATCCTGACATTTCACAGCTTATTAAATATTCATGTAAATAAAATTTTAAAAAAATGACAAAACACAATAAATGATGAATGTTCCTCTCCACGGCTACTAAGAGGTTTCCTGCTACATGTACCATTGATAGCGGCACAATTCACCCTTTAATAACTATAGTGACGTGTCTACTGAAAATCAATATCAGTTCCCATGGAAACTGATTTACCTATAATCCAAAAAGGGATTCTTTACGAGTGAATGAAATGTAATTGGAAATCAAACTAGAAAATGGTTGATTTGGACGAATTCTCCAACTCCTCTTTAGTCACAGATGGTTATTCTTACCAAAATTATGTGACAAGGTATATAATGTGGTGTTCAATGAATAAACCCCACATATATTTAAATAACCTGTATCAATTGACATCACATGGAAGAGGTCTTTGTTATAATTCAATTTGTGAAAAATAGGATGGAATTAGCTCTGTGTAACTCCCTAATAATTGTTAGCCTCAACTCGTTTCTCCTAAAATACTAAAAAAAACTACCCCTTTATCAAGAAAACCGTCTCTCTGTTCCTTGGAGTCCAATCATTCATCGTAAATAAAAAAAAGTCTATCGTTCCTCCTGAGAGTCTACCCCATAAAACCACTACCTATTGTTCTTCATAAAACACCCCTCCATGCCGTCTACCCTTTTATCCCAGGACATTATCCCCTGATCCTCGTAATCCTGAGTGTATTATAAGTGCACATCCTTGAGGTGCAAATACATTGAGCATGATGTGACACTATTCTGGGCGGTCATTGCCCCGATTGCCATTCTAATAGTATTTTAATATATTACAATGAGGAGTGGAGACTTATAGCGTATAGTGTGATCAATCTGATAGCGGACCTATTACTATAGAATTTTGATCCAGTTAATAGTGATACTACATTGGCTTACTGTCCAGGACACATCTGATGCTCCTATTCTGGGATCACTATTGATAGACCCCCTTAAAACTGGAAATCACCAAGGACTCCACATACAGGTTGTACTAGTTCCAAAGAACAGGCCCACAGCAAGGATCACAAGAAGTAGGGATTCCAAGTCTGGGTTTCTGAACGTATGAACCTACAACAGAACCCTGGAAGCACTAAACATAGTCCATTATTGACCAAAGCATTGACCATAGTCCTGGACCCCAATAAGCATGAAATAGAGGTCATGCCCCCCAATAACAGTGAAAGGAAATCCCTGGATCCCAATAAGGATGAAAGAGAGGTCATGCCCCCAATAACAGTGAAAGGAAATCCCTGGACCCCAATAAGCATGAATTATTATTATTATGATATTTATAGAGTGCCGTCAAATTCCGCGGGGCTTTACAATGGGTGGACGAACAGACATGTAGTTGTAACCAGACAAGTTGGACACACAGGAACAGAGGGGTTGAGGGCCCTGCTCAATGAGCTTACATGCTAGAGGGAGTGGGGTAAAATGACACAAAAAGGTAAGGATAGTATTGGACTAGTGATAGTTGCAGAAGAGGAATCAGTCAGGAGCTATTAACAGTTTAATTGATACGCTTTTATGAAGAAGTGTGTTTTTAACGATTTTTTGAAGGAGTGGAGACTGGGTAAGCATCTAACGGAGGAGGGAAACGAGTTCCACAGGAACGGTGCAGCTCTCAAGAAATCTTGAAGGCGAGCATCAGAGGTGGGAGTACGGACAGAAGATAGACGTAAGTCTTCAGCAGATCGTAAGGGCCTAGACGGGACATACTTGTGTATAAGGGAGGATAGATGGGTGGGAGCAGCATTATGTAGAGATTTGAAAGCAAGAACCAGAATTTTAAATTGAGCTCTATATTTTATAGGAAGCCAATGTAGGGACTGACAGAAGGGTGAGGAATGGGAGGTGCGTTCGGACAGGAAGATGAGCCTCGTTGCCGCATTCATTATGGACTGTAACGGCGCAAGTTGGGAGCACGTAAGACCACTGAGAAGCGGATTACAGTAGTCAAGGCGAGAAAGGACAGTGGTATGGACCAACACATTAGTCGCATCTGGCGTTAAGTAGGGGCGGAGGCGCGCAATGTTTTTGAGATGGAAATGACAGGATTTGGCGATAGATTGAACATGAGGCTTGAAGGAGAGGTCGGAGTCAAAGAGAACACCTAGGCAGCGAGCTTGCGTGGTGGAGCTGATGGTAGCACCATTGACTTGGAGGGAGACAGACACAGGAGTAACAACACTTGAGGGAGGAAAGACCAGAATTTCAGTTTTGGTCACGTTTAGTTTAAGGAAGTGGGCAGCCATCCAGTTAGAAACAGCAGAGAGGCAGTCAGAGACTCTAGTCAAGAGGGACGGGGAGAGATCAGAAGAGGACAGGTAGATTTGCGTGTCATCTGCATAGAAATGATATTGGAAGCCAAAGGAGCTAATGAGTTTACCAAGGGAGGCAGTATAGATGGAGAACAGTAGGGGACCAAGGACTGAACCTTGGGGGACACCAACAGAGAGGAGTTGAGGAGAAGAAGCAGAGCCAGAGGAAGAAACACTGAAAGAGTGCTGGGAGAGGTAGGAGGAGCACCAGGAGAGAGCAATATCTTGTAGTCCGATATTGCGGAGGATGAGAAGAAGCTGTTAATGATCAACAGTGTGAAAAGTCGCAGACAAGTCAAGGAGAATTAGGATAGAGTAGTGACCACGAGATTTTGCAGCGAGTAGATCATTGGATACTTTGGTCAGTGCCGTTTCCACAGAGTGCTTAGCGCGGAAACCAGACCGAAGCGGGTCTAGCAGAGAGTTGGACTCGAGGGAGTCTGTCAATCTCGCATACACAATTTTTTCAAGGATCTTGGATGCAAAAGGCAGTAGCGAGATAGGACGATAGTTGGATGGGGAGTTAGGGTCAAGAGTGGGCTTCTTTAGAATTGGGGTTACAGTTGCATGTTTGAAGGGCAATGGAAATATACCAGAGGAGAGAGAGAGATTGAGAATTTTAGTGAGAGGTGGAGAAAGAGAAGAAGACAGAGTACGGATGAGATGCGAGGGAATTGGATCTAGGGAGCAGGTGGTGGGGCGGGAGGACTGGAGCAGAGCAGAAACCTCTTTCAATGTAGCGGGTGCGAATGAACATAGAACAGCAAAGGGAGTGAAGTTAGGGGAAGAAGAAAGATGAGCGATCTCTTCTCTGATTGTAGAGATCTTGTCAGTGAAGTGAGTTGCAAAGTCTGAGGCGGTCAAGTTTGTAGGTGGAGGAGGAACAGCAGGGCAAAGAAGAGAGTTAAATGTGTGAAATAGTCGTTTGGGTTCATGGGAGAGTGTGGTTATGAGGGTATTGAAGTAATTTACTTTTGCAGAGGAAAGAGCCAAGCAAGGTGCCATGATGTCTAGTTGAGAGGAGAGGGTGGAATTGTAGAAGGAGGTTGCAGAACTAGGACAGGTGAGGTTTGAGATAGGTAAAAGGAGAGTTTGGTGATTAGTGGAGAAATGCTCTAGGTCAAGACATTGGAGGTTTCTGTGAGAGTGATGTTCAGACGGTGGTGTCAATTGGGTTTTAGGTATGCCAATGTCAAAAGTCAGCAGATGGTGGTCAGATAGAGAAAAAGGAATATTGGAGAGATTAGAGGCAGTACATAGGTTGGTGAAGGCAAGATCAAGAGTGTTTCCCGCTGTATGGTTGCTAGATTGGACCATTGCGCAAGGCCAAAGGAGGAGGTTACAGAGAGCAGACGAGAGGCATCAGTGCAATTGGGGTTATTGTTTGGGATATTGAAATCTCCAAGTATAAGGGAAGGAGTGCAAGATGAGAGGAAGAGGTCATGTCCCCCAATAACAGTGAAAGGAAATCCCTGTACCCCAATAACCATGAAAGGTCCTGGAACCCCCATTAGCAGTGATAGGCCCTTTGTATTATTAATCATGGCTAATAATATCACATTGTAAGATATTTTATTGAATAGCCAGTAACTCTGTATACAGAAACCAGGAAGACTCCCATTGTTTCCATTACAGCTGGCAATGCGCCATCTTGCTACACCCAGACTGCTGGCAGAGATGGCTTCGCCCACCGACCTGTGACACACCGGAAGTCCGCCATCTTGCTACACCCGAGTTGTTCGAGCGGGTTGGTACGGCAGCTGTGTTGACTTCCTTTCGGTGAGTATAACGACCCATCGCGGTATAAACCCGCCCGTCCGCCCGCGTGTATTAGCCCGGCAGGCTGGCACGGTGCAGGGCGGGTTATTAACGCGAGCTTTGTGTTCTCTCAGGCTGGGAGCAGCAAGATGGCGGCCGCGCGGTAACGGTTATACCGGGAGCCAGTGACCCCCCGCCGCCGCCATGGAGCCCGCGGGCCGCAGGGACAGGGGGAAACCCAAGGAGTCTGTCAGCAGGCTGGAGAGAGCCAAACAGAAAACGGCTCAGCAAGAGCTCAAACAACGGCAGAGGGCGGAGGTGAGAGCCACCCGCCATCTTACTGCACCCACATCATCATCAGCCGCCATCTTACTGCACCCACACCATCATCAGCCGCCATCTTACTGCACCCACATCATCATCAGCGGCCATCTTACTGCACCCACATCATCATCAGTGGCCATCTTACTGCACCCACATCCACTAACACGCCATCTTACTGCACCCACTCTACTAACACATCATCTTACTACACACATTAGCAAGCCATCTTACTGCACCCACATCATCATCAGTGGCCATCTTACTGCACCCACATCATCAGCCGCCATCTTACTGCACCCACACTATCATCAGTGGCCATCTTACTGCACCCACTAACACGCCATCTTACTGCACCCACATCATCATCAGTGGCCATCTTACTGCACCCACACCATCATCCGCGGCCATCTTACTGCACCCACACCATCATCGGTGGCCATCTTACTGTACCCACATCATCGGTGGCCATCTTACTGCACCCACACCCACTAACACGCCATCTTACTGCACCCACATCATCAGTGGCCATCTTACTGCACCCACTAACACGTCATCTTACTGCACCCACGCTATCTTACTGCACCCACGCCCACTAACACGCCATCTTACTGCACCCACACCCACTAACACGCCATCTTACTACACCCACATCATCGGTGGCCATCTTACTGCACCCACATCATCGGTGGCCATCTAACTGCACCCACATCCACTAACACGCCATCTTACTGCACCCACACCCACTAAAAGCATGTCTTACTGCACCCACATCGCTGGTGGCCATCTTACTGCACCCACATCCACTAACACGCCATCTTACTACACCCACATCGCTCCGGTGGCCATCTTACTGCACCCACATCCACTAACCGCCATCTTACTGCACCCACACACCCACTAAAGCGCCATCTTACTGCACCCACATCATCGGTGGCCATCTTACTGCACCCACATCCACTAACACGCCATCTTACTACACCCACATCATCGGTGGCCATCTTACTGCACCCACATCCACTAACACGCCATCTTACTGCACCCACACCCACTAAAACGCCATCTTACTGCACCCACATCATCAGTGGCCATCTTACTGCACCCACTAACACGTCATCTTACTGCACCCACGCTATCTTACTGCACCCACGCCCACTAACACGCCATCTTACTGCACCCACACCCACTAACACGCCATCTTACTACACCCACATCATCGGTGGCCATCTTACTGCACCCACATCATCGGTGGCCATCTAACTGCACCCACATCCACTAACACGCCATCTTACTGCACTCACACCCACTAAAACGCCATCTTACTGCACCCACATCATCGGTGGCCATCTTACTGCACCCACATCCACTAACACGCCATCTTACTACACCCACATCATCGGTGGCCATCTTACTGCACCCACATCCACTAACACGCCATCTTACTGCACCCACACCCACTAAAACGCCATCTTACTGCACCCACATCATCAGTGGCCATCTTACTGCACCCACACCCACTAACACGCCATCTTACTACACCCACATCATCGGTGGCCATCTTACTGCACCCACATCCACTAACACGCCATCTTACTGCACCCACTCTACTAACACATCATCTTACTACACACATTAGCAAGCCATCTTACTGCACCCACATCATCATCAGTGGCCATCTTACTGCACCCACATCATCAGCCGCCATCTTACTGCACCCACACTATCATCAGTGGCCATCTTACTGCACCCACTAACACGCCATCTTACTGCACCCACATCATCATCAGTGGCCATCTTACTGCACCCACACCATCATCCGCGGCCATCTTACTGCACCCACACCATCATCGGTGGCCATCTTACTGTACCCACATCATCGGTGGCCATCTTACTGCACCCACACCCACTAACACGCCATCTTACTGCACCCACATCATCAGTGGCCATCTTACTGCACCCACTAACACGGCATCTTACTGCACCCACGCTATCTTACTGCACCCACGCCCACTAACACGCCATCTTACTGCACCCACACCCACTAACACGCCATCTTACTACACCCACATCATCGGTGGCCATCTTACTGCACCCACATCATCGGTGGCCATCTAACTGCACCCACATCCACTAACACGCCATCTTACTGCACCCACACCCACTAAAACGCCATCTTACTGCACCCACATCATCGGTGGCCATCTTACTGCGCCCCACACCCACTAACCGCATACATCTTACTACACCCACATCATCGGTGGCCATCTTACTGCACCCACATCATTGGTGGCCATCTTACTACCACATCCACTAACCATGCATCTTACTGCACCCACTCTACTAACACATCATCTTACTACACACATTAGCAAGCCATCTTACTGCACCCTCATCTTCACCTGTAATGTTTCTGTATCTACAGCTATATACACTCAGACACATAACTGGGAGTATTATTGCTGTGGAGCTCTGTTATACTCAGACACATTACTGGGAGTATTATTGCTGTGGAGCTCTGTTATACACTCAGACACATTACTGGGAGTATTATTGCTGTGGAGCTCTGTTATACACTCAGACACATTACTGGGAGTATTATTGCTGTGGAGCTCTGTTATACACTCAGACACATTACTGGGAGTATTATTACTGTGCAGCTCTGTTATACACTCAGACACACCAACAATATGGAGATCCTAGAAAAGAGGGATAGATGGATTTGGGCCCAAAATAGGGACTGTCCCTCTTAAATAGGGACACCTGTGAGGTATGCTAAAGTGATAATTGTCAGGAATTCTTCGTGAAGTACATATTTTAAACCACAATATCTAAACTGGAAAGATTTTTCCTGTTAAGCAATTTTGTATTAAATTTGAAATTCACTTTGATTTCTGTACAATTCTCACCCTGGTAAATAAACAG